CGACGAAGTTTGTAGTCGCCCCTAAGTAGCGCCCAAGCACGCATGCACTAGCTTATCGCCAATAGCCTAATATCTATATCCATGTTTCCGCGAACCCTACGGCTAATGTTAATGTGATATTTACGACGCAGTTCGCGCCGTCAACTGATCGCATCGACACTTTACGACGACAAGTTACTGGTCTTCACTCGTCGGGGTACACACTTGGTTCAGTGAGAGGTGACTGGTCCGTGCAGTGGTGGGGGCGCCCTATACGCAGTCCTGGATTAGTCGCTACGCGAAGACAGAAACTGTCGTTGTGCAGCTTATAGTGTAGCGGGAGCGATAAATAATAGAATAGTCGCTTCAGCGACGGCACAAAGTGTTGATTGTGTCATACGGGTTCAGTCGCGCAAGCGTTTAAGCGTTGTGTTTAGTCAAGCCTCTATCAAGCTTGTTGCTACGGGTCGAACCAATTAATCAAATGATAGGTACTCTGCTCCATGTTCAGGTCACTGTAGGTTCTGTGCAAGCCGTATTTTCCCTTGGCGCTTAATAACTGTGGGGCTCGTGTTCTGCACGTACAACTGTTCTACTTTGCCATGCATGAGTGGCGGGGTACTAGCTAGGCCTGACTGCTGGAATAGAATTTTTCTAGAGCAAGACGTGGTTTATATGTAGCTTTGGTTTTTTTTCACCCTTGTACAGGCATGAGATTGTGGGTTGTGGAAAATGTGTATGTAAAAAAAGAGGGATCTGTTTCATCTCTTACATTGTGACATTTACTGAAGGATTGATAATTTGCTGTGTATTTTTTGATTGTCAATGGTTGCGATAAATACGATCCACTGAGGCCAGGCTGCGGAGGAGTCTTCTAGGCAGTGTACTGACAAGCTATGTTTCAGACCAGGTATAAATTATGGTTAGTTGGCTAGCCATGTGACCCATGTTGTTAGTGTGAGATGCAAGAGATTGATGTTAGTTTTGTAATCCGTTTGGTGACCCTTGCTATATTAGGTCTTCTACATGCATGCTGTTATTTTTTTTTTTTTTTTGGTGGGAACAAGTTCGGATGATGTTTTCGTTTTGTTAGTAAGATTCAAGATGTAGGGATGGTTTATGGGGTATTTTTGTTTTGTTTTTCGGCTTTGCTTGTTTTGGTGTTATCCTTTTTCATAATTTATGCATCCTACATGCCCCCTTCATTTTGAAGTTTACCCAGATGAATTGTCAAAAGTGGAGGCCAAATCAGCGTGTTGTTTATATAGCTAGTTAGCAAGCAGCCAGTAGTATAGCTAGAAGTTTGAGGGTTCAGGGTTTTATAGCTTAGCTGCAGTACAACCAGTGAACATAATAGATAGTATGCACCATCAAGTGATATACCGAAAGCATAAGAGGAGTATGCCCAGAGAAAGAGGAAAGGAGTAGGCTTACAATAGGAGTGGTAGGCAACAAAGGTATAGGTCAGGAGGGGATTCAGAAGTACAAGTCAGCAGCGGTGGAACGGGGACCAGGAAAAACTTCAGAGCCCACATGCCCAAGCACACTCCCAGGTAGATACTCTATATATTGGTGGGTATCCTTGACACAAAAGCGGACTCCGTCTGTACCTCTTTATTTACCTCTGTAAAAGTACCACAGTAGCTACCTCACTGACTTTGCGATGAGTGGAATTTTACCTGTCTCACGTATACTCAGCTCTGTATTAGACGAGCCTCCTTTCTTCCCCCCCTTCTCCTTCTTTCTCTTCTAGTGTCCCGATCCTATGTGTGTGTGGGTAATTTTGGTTTTTCGACCTATTTTTCTTTGTATGTGACTTTACAGTTCAGCAATTTGGCTTTCAAATTCGATTTCAATACTCTACTGGGTTGACGCGTCGATTGTGTAGATTCCTACGCTTGTAGCTTCCCCAACTCTTTTCCCTCTCATTCCAGCTTGACCCAAGTGATCACGCGACCCTCAGTATCTGAAGCCGGGGACAGCCGAGACGTATCGCATCTATCATCTTCGTACACTGTATTCACATCTTTCCTTCATTAGAACACACTTGTGCGTCTGCGCTCTGACATACGCTCAAGTGTGTTTTTCATTTTCGCGGGGATGTTGAAATCAAGCACCTACTCGTGGTTCCACCGTGTTGATCGGCGTTTGTACCCTATACAAACCCATAGCCGTGTATACAAACTTATTTACTATTCTTTTTTGCAATATATTCCCCCGGGACTTGTAGCTCTCTGTGATCGGACATCTGGTGTCCTGTCTCTTATCCATGACTGCTCACTACTCGAAATGATATATACACCCCATATAGATCATTGTGACTTTATCTTCCTGAGACCTCTCCCTCCCCCTGTTCCTATATAATAATAGGTGCCCCTTACTCAGAGTTTCACTGTATCATAAGAGTAAAGGTATTGCTGTTTGTTCTGTACCTTGTTCCACTGTAGGTGGCTTTATTGGACCGATCAGACGGGTGGCTCCCTGGAGATGGGCGCAATCAACGGAGGCACCAGAGAGACACTCATCACAGGTCTCCACTGTGTCCAAGCCTTCACAATAGACTATCCATCGCACACAGTCTACTGGGCCGATATCTGTCTCTACTCTTTCCAGTCCCTGAGTCTGAACGGAGACCGCGGGACTTTCTCATACCCATTCTCTCAGCTGGACGAGGTGTACTTTGTCTCTTCCATGGGAAAGTTCAATGGCAATCTATTCTGGGTTCAGCCGAATGGGATATTTATGGTGGAGAGCTCAGGAGATGGATATAGAGTTGTGATGCCTGCTTCTAGTTCTCAAAGACCCACTACAATGCAGGTGGTCCACCCTTCACAACAGCCTCCAGGTGAGTAGGTATTAATAAAAATAAAAATGCATAGTGCATGGGGAGCATATATAGCATTACACAGGGACATCACATAGATTAGCACATAGGTTTGGACTCTATTGCAAAGAAGCAACTACGTACCACACTGCACTCACTATGGACTATTGCATTGCTCAATAGTGTCCCTACCATAGTGGTATCTAGTTTATTGCAGCCTTGCAATAGAGTCCAAATTGGTGTTTTAATCTTGGTTAATCTATGTGCCAATGTCAAATCCTGATAGCTACATAGCTAGCCACATTGGTCTTAACAACAGCTTCAGACGGTGTACTATGTCCACATGGAGTCTGTTGGTTAGTTGTGTTTCTCTTTCAACCTCCACAGACGGTGAATACCTAGACATCATTCTGAATCCTGGTGACACAGAGTTTGTATGCGACCCTCCTTGTAATGAACAACTCAGTGTTTGCATTCCACCCGGCCTCTGTGCTTGCACCAAAGGATGGGCAGGCCGCACATGCGATGAAGGTAGGGTGTATATCCCTGTGAGTGGATATTGTGGCCACCACAATATCCACTCACCTACTCCATCTATGATATATAAAGATGAGAACTCTTGCAATTTGAGAATAGTAGTGCCTCTTTAGTAGCTACCCTCATCCTTGTCCGTTAATTTTTCAGATATTGATGAATGCGTGATAGAGACTGATGAATGTGAGCAAATATGCACCAACTATGCTGGAGGCTACAACTGCAGTTGCTACTCTGGCTACTCACTCAGCAACAACTCCAAGAGCTGCACAGGTTTGAGTCTACATTGAGTAGCACGTGTCACACAAAGTTTCTAATTTTAGCCAAGCGTATGAGTGATGCAATGGGCAAACTACAATTCTGCTCTATTGTCAAGATGTAAGAATTTAGCTTTTCTGTTCTCCTTCCAGATATCGATGAGTGTGCCATGAATTCCGATGGCTGTGAGCAAGACTGTTCAAACATGCCTGGAGGGTACTATTGTAGCTGTGTGTCTGGCTACTCAATGAACAGCGATCTACACACATGCTCTGGTATGACCTCCACACACACATCCACCCATCACTGCCAGTGTATGAACAATGATGTACATACATCCATTTCCATCACCAGAAGAAAACAAGTCCTCTGTGTGTGTTTCTCTGCAACCATTTCTACAGTAAAAAACCAAAACAAGTTCTATAATTATTGTGTATGGTCATATGTTGTCATAGATGTTGATGAATGTGCCGGTGGTTCAGATGGCTGTCACCAGATATGTAGCAATCATGACGGGGGCTTCCTCTGCAGCTGTGAAAAAGGCTACTTGCTCTCAGATGACATGAAGACCTGCACCTGTACGTTGCATCATTTGCCACCAAAGTATGTAGCTCGGTATTATACTCAACGTAGGGATTGAGGTGGAGTATCTTACCCCTGCCACTGTCATTGGATCTAACACTGTTACCTCCACATTAATTAGTCAACCAAGTTCCAGAGCACCAACATACTCTGCCGCAAGTCCAGGTGTACTTCTGCCAACATATCTGGCAAACTCAAGTGTAGTCTTACAATTGTCGACTCTCCCAAGATCAACTCATTTGCTGGGTTCAGATGTATCAACACTATTGCTAAGCTCAGGGAAATCGACGTTTAGACCAACAATAAGCCTATTGCCCACAGTAGCATTAAGCACTGCGGCTCACAGTGCTTCAATTGACACATCTACGACTATCTACCCTTCAGTTTCTCCAACAACGCATCACGTTGAGCAGAGTTCTCAAGTACAATCTACTTTGGGAGTGCAAGCACCGCTTACTTCAAGAGAAAACACCCGAACCATCACTTCGACGTTACCGCCTGTACCCACTAGTGTACCCACCAGTTACATCTCACAGAGTATTGGTGTGTCCACGAATAGCTATGTAGAAATTAACTCGGTGACAGCTACATCGACCACAGCTGAGCTGTACGTGTCTTCTGTGATGTATTCTTCCGCGATATCCGGTGCTTCAACCACTGTTCCTATAGCGACTGGCATCAAAACAGTGGATCCCACAACGACACTTGTGTACTCAACGATGTACTCTGCAACAAAACCATCAGCTTTGGAGCCGTCTGTTTCTAACATTGTGTCGTCTACCATTGCCACACAAACGGGTTCTATCGCTTCACACAGACCACCGTCCATTGTACAAAGTGGTTCCTCTCATCAACTTACAACAGTGTCATCTACTACTACAACAGAGGGAGACTCTAGTGTTGCACCTGTAACTTTGCCTCTCCCAGAGAGATCGAATGCAACAGTCACACAGAGAATTACGTCTACAGAAGTACAGACCACTGAGCATCACGAACCAACGTCATTGACAACAGCGCACCCCGTAACGGTCTCGTATACAGCAACACAGCTAACTTTCAGTGGTGCTGCTACCACAAGCAGCGGGTCTGAAGCCTCCACTAGTGGCCCCATCACTAGCAGTCAGCATATTTTCCCTTCAGTTGGACTGACACAAGCAAGCAAGGTAGGTGTATGCCACAGCCTTGTTCAGTGAGTACATACATGCTCTTGTTTTACATGCAATGGATGGCCAGCTATATTATTCAGTGCATAGGTGGTGTAAGAGGGTGCTTCTCCTTAAAACCTAACATTGACCATAATGGCATACACATGGCAAGCTACAACTGTGCCCCCAGCTGTTGAAACCACCGTCCTCTGCCTGTGCTATTTCTTGGTTATGGTTGTGATGTTGCTCTCTCTCTCTCTCTATTGTCAGGGTCTCCAGTGGCACACAAAGAACATGCTTGCCTTGGTTATTGTGGCTATTGGAGTGGTTCCAGCTCTCGCAGGTGAGCTACATCCTTCTGTATGTAGTAGCTACATATCTTGTTAAGTGGGTTGTAAAAGTATCTCTCTCTCTTCTCTACTGTGGCTACTTGTTTACAGTGGTATACATGCTGAGCTAATAGCCATAAGTTTTTGCCTGTTTCACTCACTGTAAACTGCTTTTTCACAACAGCTAGTGAGTCCCTGTTTTCTGTCTTACTGTGTAGTGAGCTCTTTTATACGGTGTTATATACATATATAGCCAATGATAGCCAATAGGTTTCACATACTTTATCTCTGTCCCCTGTCCCACTGGTGGACTTACAGCTTTGGTAGTGCTGGTATCGGCTCTGTGGTATCGCCGGTATCACGGCAGAGGCTCCTGGTCTCCCAACCACAACATTACTGATGTGGTGGTCGAAGAGCCTATACCACACATTGACGCAGTCAGCGACGGCCACGTATCCATGTCTTCCTTCAGGTCACTTCATGAGGATAAATAGGGCAACTCTAATTCTCAGTCAATATCATCATGGTCACTTTTGTATGTGTAGCATGCTGGACATGAACTAGGGCATTATATAGAGTAATATTTTTTTTCCTGTTCGTTGTACGTTGCCAAGTTCTATATTGCATGTCCACTCATGTTGTATTGTGTATGTTGCATTCAGTGCTGTATTGTATATATATATCTTATATTGTCGGTTGTCAATATTGTCAATTGTCTTAATACACATGTACAACGCGAGTGGCAACGACAATATACATGCAACAGAGAGCAATGAACTATCGTAAGTCTTTAGTGATTGTGTCCAGGAACAGGTTCTGCATAGTAGAGGTGCCAGGGAGTGTTTCTTCTCTTCTTGAGGTCCATACCCATGGCGTCACTAACCCTCCTTTTGGCAGCTCGATACTTGTGCACGAGCATCAGACTCACAATCCCTATACCTGTGAATAAATGAACACACGGCAAGTAAAATGCTGCAGCGAATCCAAAATTTGTACTACGTATATATGTAGGCCTTGCTACAGTGCAAACCTTCTATGCTGGACTTAAGAGAGCGTCTGTTTTCGTTGGTGGATTGTCCTTATAGATATAGCACGAGTATGTAAATGCTTTTGTATTGAAAAAGGGTTTGTAGATTAATGGTCCTCAAAAGGGCTTCTGGACACCAAGGGAAGCTATTGCGACATACCAGACACAATGATGAGAACAATGACAATGACTGAGACTGAGATGTAGATGTTGGAGTGGTCCGCAGGAGAAGCAATAGGTGGTCTTGTGGGTGGGCCATAGGGAGGACCCCCTCCACCAGGCTGGGTGACGGCGGAAGACCCAGGAACTGTTACTGTGGTGACAGGTCTGCTGCTGCTCTCCTGTGAGTGTGTGTGGTTCATGCATAGAGCCAAGGCCACGCGATACAGCTTTGTTCAAAGTCTCATGAAACTTTGTTGTCTGGGTAAGATGGGGTAGCTACATGCAACATGCAATAGCATAGTTCACCGTGTACCATGCCTTTCAGAAAAACAACAAACGAACGCTCTCATAACTAACCCAGACAACATTAGCCACAGAAAGTGGGAGACTGTTTAATACGTATATACACTCCTTACATGACATCGTGTTGTTGTTGGTGTTGTTTCGGTCTTTAGTTCAGTGGAACCCATTTTGTCACTCATTACATCACTCTTTTGAGAAACTGTAGATACAGTTTCACTGGTTATTATAGTCACTGGCGGTGAGTTTGTATGTCCCTCAAACGGAGCAACCGACGTGATCGTGTCGTAGTGGATGAAACGGTCAGTACTCAGACTTGGAATCACAAAGATGGGTAGCGGGTGGGACTTTGGTGTGTGATGGAAGCTCAGAGTTGTAGGTGTTGGTGCTATAATATGTTCACTGCCGTCTGTCACCATCATGTAAATCCTCTCTGTGGATGAAAAAACGTAAACGATTTGTCCGTAAGATTCCCAAGACCAAATAATTATAATCATAGTAAACCTGTTATTTGTTCCATCACAGAAGCAGTGCTGAGCTCAAGTATTCTGCTGAGATAATATTTTTGATTGGTGGTGGTGGTATAGCTAATCGCAATCTTACATCTGGGTTTCTTCAGATTGGCCAAAGACACTTGGTGCTAGAATGCTGCATCCTGCCAGGATTAGTAGTAGATCCATTATGCTCCACATCTTACAACCTTACGTCGTTCTCTGGTTCTGCAGAGTCTGTCAAACGCAACTACGCTTGATGCTCCCAAAAATTCAACTTTCCGCGCTGTGCTCACGTGATCATGTGCACGGCGCGGCGCGCCGATCAGCGCTGCGGCGCTGCGCTGACATGTACGTGTGTATGTACGTGTGTGGCGGCACTTTTGCGAAAAAGTATGGTTGGCCGAAGTGCACGTTCGAAGATGCCGCAGCAAATTATCGCCACCGTCATTATTCTGCAGTGTTTGTGCATCGGAGCCAGAACCAGCAATGGGTAAGCATGTCTTACCCAACAACAGCGAACGGCATTTAGCGTTTTTTCAGCTCCAAACAGCCTTACTTGCTCTTGGCTATCAGTAACAGCATTGTTTCGATGGATATGGACGGTAACTTTCTCAACCGCACCATAACGGACGGAAACAACAGAATTCAGGCCATTGACTGCCACTACAGGTATATAGATCTAACTGAGAGTGGCTAAAACTGTAAGTCAACAATGTTATTTTACTACTTTCCAGAAAGCAACAAGTCTATTGGATAACACATAATGGTTATATAAAGACAGCAAACCTATGCGGCATGCTGGATATTGAATTAATTGCCCATGACCCTGGAGCTAGTAAGTATGGTCTCATTAAACCACATAGCATAAACCTTGTAGCGACATGAAAGATGTTCGTTGGTGCATATTATATGGAGGCCATAAGTTTGTGTTTTAGCTATAAACAGCTACTATGCGTAGTTTAGTTTATAGGCAGTGTGTAACTACACACTCCATATAGGTGCTTGAATAACCCTACGGGTAAAGCACTGACACCCTGCAAGTTGTTTGTGTATGGTCTTTTGTGACTGTTTTAAACACACAACTGAGTAGTTATTTCACCATCAATTGTTTGAACCGCCCCTCACAGCGGACCTAGCAGTGGACTGGCTGGAAGATATGCTGTATTGGACAAACGGAGATGCTACTGAAATCCGTCGAGTGAACCTCATGTCTACTGACTCTCCTGTAACAACACCACATTTGATTGAAGTGGATATAGAAGAGCCCAAGTTTACAGACATTGTTTTGGACCCCATTATCAGGTAGCTACATAGTGAAAGCCTCTAGTCTACAAAGGCTTTGGGAAACTAGGGGCCATTAGTTCTGATGGTCTCCCACAAACACCCTAAAATGTTTAACCCCCAAGCTTCTTCGTTAGCCCTTTGTCCCAACTCTTTACAGGTCTATGTATGTGATGGACATAGAAACTGACATCCTCATGGAAATTGACTACATGGGAAACAGAGTTAGAGATATTTTCACGGCACCTCGTCTAGCATCTCGCCTTGCCCTATCGTACTACCAAAGTTTAATAATGTGGTACGAGGTACCATCAGCAATTCACGTCCAGGGACTCGTAAACCAATCCCTTAGCATTCTCCATACACTATCAGGTGAACATGTGGTGGGGATAGAGTACTATGGTGGAAAGATGTATTGGGTCCAAAGGAGCCCTGTCATAAGCGTGTACTGCAAGATGTGGAACGAAACAAGCAGTGAAGGGAAGCGGTTAAGAATGTTCCAGAATACTGAAGCTGTAAATGATATAGCAGTAGTGAATGCTTCTAGCCAGCCTCAGCCTTCAGGTTTGTTGAAACATTGCAGCATAGCATACTATAGCCGCATGATCTTAACTTCTAAAGTCTTACATTACATGCAGGTATCCATGCTTGCTCTGTGCTCACAGAAAATCCTACTGTGTCTAGAGATTTGGATATGACTACAACATTTGGTGAAGGTTAGAGGCTAAATTCAGTTGCCAACTTTATTGGTGTGAAACAATGTTGTAGTTTCCAGACTTATTTTCCCTCTGTTTAGTTCCTAAAGACAGAGAGAATGATTGTACATGTAGTAAGGATTCCAGTAACTCAACAGTGATTGCTGTGTCAGCAGTATCCCTTCTACTGGTTGTCACTCTTGCCACAGTCATCCTTACTCAATGTCTACTCATCATCAGAATGAGGAGGTCTGATGCCTATACTGAGCCTACTAACCATACCACTTCGTCCGCCACAACTGATATTCCTGTATCACCTAATGATGCATATGCACCTACAACGACAACTGAAGACGTCACTTATGAATGTATTTATTAATTTGAGAGAGTTACAACTTCAAGACATGCTAGTTAAAGGTCAATTTTAATCCATTTTCTAATAGCAAAGCATTGACTGGCCGTTGCCGCGCCTATCGCGCCAGGCGCAAACGCATGCGCATACGGGGAGCTAGCCCTGATATCCAGGCACAGTCCAGGGTTCTGCTGGCAGAAGTGTTCGTTGGAGGAGGATGCATCGTTGTCTCGCCGTCACTGTCCTTATTCTGCAGTATCTTTGTACTGGAACTAGAGCCAGCAGCAATGGGTAACTAGCACGCCGCGCCCAGCAAGTGTCATTGATTTTTATGCCGCGTTGCTTTCCACTTTCCAGCTCCGAACTGGCTCCTTACTTGCTCCTGGCCTTCCGTAGCCGTATTGATGCGATGGATATGAACGGTAACTTACTTGACCTAACTATCACGGACGGACACAACCGAATAGATGCCATTGACTGCAACTATAGGTATGAATTGGTGTGTTCAAATTGAAAGTCAACATCATACTCAGTCATTTTGCAGAACGCAGCAAGTTTATTGGATAACTCATACCGGATATATCAAGAGAGCTGATATCAATGACACTCAGCAGCGTGTTCAAATCATTTCCTATGATATTGGAGCTAGTAAGTCCCATTATTAGCATCAATCCAAAAAGTTGCTGAAAAATTGCCAAGCATCCTTTAGAAAAAGATTTTAGCAGATTTTTTTAATGGTGATTAAAGCTATACCTTACAACATGCCAATCCCTACAGTAGGATGGTATTGAAAAATCAGATGAGATCTGCAATCTTCACCACTAATGTGAGATATATATTTTTTGCACCCACACATGCACACACATAGGTGACCTGGCGGTGGACTGGCTGGAAGACATGCTGTACTGGACAAACATCAATGAGAATAAAATCCGTCGATTGAACCTCACGTCTACTGATATTCTTGCAACCAGTCCAGACAAGATCCAAGTAGAAGGCACAAGCATTAATGGTTCTAAATTCAGAGGCATTGTTCTGAACCCCATGATCGGGTATGCAGGGAATCCTCCATATCCATAGTTGACTTGTTTGCTTTGCCTTGCCTTGTTTGTGTACTTTGTGGGAAAGATGATAGAATAATCGGCTCCAACTATATAATGATAGTTTCTGATAGCGTCCCCTATAAACACCCCACAGCCTATGTACCGCAACTTAGCGTATGGTGCATTCCATCAGCTTTTCATGCACACACACACTCCAAAGTGGCTTGAACTAAAGTTTCGGATCTATATCTGCAGGTCAATGTATGTGATGGATGTAGGGGTAAATCAACTCATGGAAATTGACTACACTGGAAAATGGATAAGAAATATTTTCACACAGCGCCCGGCAACCCGCCCTGCTCTGTCTTTCCCTCACGATTCTATCATTTGGTACGAGATACCATCATCAATTGGCGTCCAGGGACTCAGTCAGTCTGTCAGTTTCTTACATACAATATCAGACGATCACGTGGTGGGGATACAGTACTATGGTGGGAAGATATTCTGGGCCCAAAGGTCTGGGGACGTGTACTGCAAGCAGTGGAACGACACACAGAGTCCAATAAGGGAACTGAAGGATGATGATGATGTCATCAACGACTTGGCTCTAATGGATAACCCTTATATTGCAGGTGAAAATCGTAACAGTACAGCAAAGTATAGCATGCTGAATGTGAAGCACTAGGGGTTTGTGTCCCATTTTAATGTAACCCCTCTCAAGGACACCCCAGAAGATGACCACAAAGTCCCCAAAGAACAGTTCTTGCATGAATTTTAACACCCTGAAATAAATGTACCCCCTACTTCTGTTGCTGCATTGGTTTCCAGATTAGAGAGGTTACACTGTACTGTATATACCTGCATTAGCATGGCAATCTTTCCATCTAGGGAACTATAGTGATTATGTGCTACCAGCCCCGTCCTCGAGTGCCGACAGCAAAATGACTGTCACACCAGCAACAACAGGACATGCTACTGTTGTTACTACTGGACGTAAAGATGGCGGAAAAACATTGACGTTTTCTGCAGCTGTGAGCGAGAAAACGACACCCACAAGACCTCACACTGCACCACCGGTGGCTAGCAACACTGTCATGAATACAGCAAACAATGTAGGAGTCGCAACGAGAATACCTCAGTCTAGTCCTGGATACGAGACAGTAACCACACATGTTATTCAACCGACTCCATTTAGCAACACACCGGTGCAGAAAACATCTAAAATCCAAACTCTAAGCTCCCGTTTATTTTCAGAGCTGCCAAGTGCCTCTATTCTAGCCTCTATTTCGACCGCTACGAAGACACCTGCTCTTCTAACTTTGACTTTGACACAGTCCATGAGTGGTGCTGCAGATTCAACGCTAATCAACCCAAGTACAGTAGGAACTCGTGTCCCTTCACAGGTGTTGCCTTCTACAAACTCTGCTACGACCACTGCAGGCGTATCAAAACCATATTCCTCACCAGCTGTTGACCCTTCACGATTGTCTTCTACAAACTCTCCTACAGCATCTGTTGCCATTTCACAATTAACATCCTCACCAGTGGTCGCTCCAGTACAGTCAACACTTGTAGTACCTGCAAGCTCACCCACAGAGGTTCCAACCCTTATTGCTACACCTAGGGAGTCAACTAGTGCTCATGGCAGTACCACCATTCAACCTGTACCAGTGGATGGTGGTCAAATTGCTGCTGCCACTCCACTGGTTGGATCACATGATGGTCACATGACATCGACCGCCACTGCTGCTGCCACCCCACTAGTTGGATCACATGACGGTCACACGGCATCAGCCTCTCAGAAGATTCTTTCACGCAATTCAGATAATATGGCAGGGGGAAGTTTGGTGGTAGTATCCACTACTAGTTTGAGGCTTGAGATTCAACCATCTTTAGTGGTGGTGAATAATGAAGGGAACAGCTATAAAAAGGTACTCAATGCTGTAGAAAAACGTCCGAGGGAGATAATTTCAGAGCTATTTACAATTTTGTAGGCCAGGGGTCGTTTTTACAGTTAAGGAAGCATAATTACAAGCGTTTTCCCAAAAAGAAAGTGGTATAGGAGCATCCTAGAGTTACTATAGCTTCACTCCTGTTGTTTGCAGAAAACCTCCACTCAACTGGAAGCCGTTGTCATTACCATTAGCTGTCTGGGTGCTGCAGTACTCATTTTCATTGGTAAGATACCCCAGTGCAGAATTTTGCTGGTTCAGACACTTATATTTGTTCTACAGGTTGGCAATCCTAGATGTAATCTACTACTTTAGCTACGAGCGTCGACATGGAAAGAAAGCGACTTCAGGGATCTTGGGTGGTGCATGGAAGATTATAACCCTCCCCTTGTACTGCCTGCACTGCCCACGGTATATGTTGAGACGACAAAGGAAGAGTAGATACCCCTATGTTCCGAGACGCATGGACATCAGCGACGTTTCGATGTACAACTCTGACGCAGGGAACACCACTACAACCTCGCTGTCCATCATGACTGACCAAACCAGTCCATCGACTACTACAAACGGGAGTGGTTTACCACTAATAGACCACAGCGGTTCACTCAATCCGGACCACAGTGGTGCATCAAACGACCAACCAAATGCCGAAGCAGATTTCACAATTATTTCTTCTAACGATGGAAACAGTGACAGTATAAGCGGGTACTCAAATTCCGATGCAGTTGCTTCGTTCGAGGTGGATGACATTGATTACCAGGGGCCGCCCCCCACAGCAAATGTAAAGCGGTTGGAGCTCGAGACTAAAATTGCTCTTGGTGTTGCAGATTATGACGACGATGACGACGAATTTACGAAGAAAGACTTATCTTTATGACACTAGCTGGGTCTAGTGCAATGTAGTGGACACTCAAATCATGAAAGACTCCCCAATACACAAGAAATGAAGAGAGCTTATCACATTTTAGTCCTTCTATTGTTTAGTGTATGTAACACAATATCTATGCCAGTCCCTCACAACCCAAAAATTTTAAGATTCATTTTCGGTGATAAACTATAATTTTACAAAAAATGAAACGCGTGTGTGGAAAAACTGATCTCCTAAGGTTGAAATAATACGTCCCTAGTCGCTATCGTCTGAATCCTCAGGGTCCACATAGCCTGATTTCTTGAGTGCCGCGGACATGACGTCTCTGATCTGGTGCTTCTTGCGAGGGTCTTTGTCGAGCTCTGTCTTTACTGCCCCCTTCTCTGACAGCATCCACTCCAGCTCTGCAGTATGTAGTAGTATATATTATATGCATGGGGGACAGTGGGTGTATAGGCAGTATGAACGGCGAAAATTATTACGTACATGATGTAATGTGTATGGTAGAGAAGTCTCAATGCCTATGTGATCATGGGTGTCCTTGAGCTTTGCACTTTGTTTTACAAGAAGGACTGCAATGTGAGTGAAGCTGACTTTAAACTACTGCGTGATTTGTGCACATCATGGTGCAGGGTTGGTGAATTCAGAGAACTAGGTAACTTTGCTTCTCTCACCAATCATTAAAAGGCATGACAGTGTTTCCCGCAGGGTAATATTCAAACAGGGTGCTATTACCTCAGCTTTCAGGCTGAAAGCTACTCACGTTTCAAAGCACTTCCTGTTGGGAAATCCCCTACTGGCCTAAAGTGCTACTCCATAAGCAGCGCGCACAACACGTACACACCGCGCTAGTTGCATTTTACGCATGCGCAATAATTGTACACGCCCATTTTCGGGATTTTTCAATCCGCGCCCGGTTGTTATAATGCTGCAACTCACCATCGACCGTGAGATTCATTCCTCCAAACTCTATTGGTCCCACAACCTGCCCCATCATCTCTCCCTCGTGGTAGACAAAAATGTGGGGAGGTTGCGGTCGGGATAGTTGGGGATGCAAGTTGTCGATATGCTCTTCAGGAACTTGGTGGCCGGGAACTTGGGCGCTAGCTGGTACAGGTGTTGGTTGATGAGAGCACACAGTGGGATACTGTAGTTCGTAGGTCAAGGAGCCTCAGTTTCAGTTTTGTGGTTAAAAGTGAAATCAACTCTGTATTTACTTAACTCTCACACTTTCTATGTCTAGTTTTACACAGTGCACCTGCGTATATGCACTCCCACATATATATATATATATACCCCATACGTAAACACATAATCCCTACTTGTATATAAGCACACACTCTAAATAAATTTGCTCATGTGTGTGGTTGCCAAAACTGCATATTGTATAGCGGGAAATTTTCAAAGAAGGACACTACGTAAAACTTTATCTGTGGGCTGCGAGATTTCAAAACAATAAGTGAAAGTGAATCTTTACAAGATTCTCTCATTTGCTACCACATTACGAAGGTCTTCTCCCACGAAATTTTCCTGCTATATAGTATATACACTACTGACTCTATATTTGGGAGGAGGATACCCAGTTTTGTACAGGTGTAGTACAACCCACACTCCCTCCCCTGCCTTGTTCACTTCGTCCACATAGTCGACTGCAGATATCTCCCTCACCGAGCCATACTTGGCCTTAGACTGGGCTGCCAGTATCTCTGCCATACGTTGCTGCCTGTACACACGACACTACATAATATCGTCAACTACTTATGCAAGTTTAGGTACACCATGAGTATTAGTCACTGCAGCAAAAACTCTGTACTTAGTTGAATAGAACTGGCACTAGTAAGTATGATCAGACGGTAGAGAGAGTTTCAAACAAACCTGTACTGGTGTAGTACTCTATCGTCCTCTTCATCTTCCATTTCATCCAGTTCATCCAGAGTCATGTCTTCTATGGCCTTTGACCCCTGACCAATTCTCTGCTGGACTGCATCCTCCACCAACTATTGGACCACCATACATAGCAGTAATATGTCTCTTGCAAGTATAATGTCGTACACGTATGGGCATGGTGGGTCCGCACCACTACGTATAGGTTCCTATCTATAAATTGGTGTTCCGGAACTTTTGAACACAGTTCTAAAGCACCACTGAAGACAATGCATGGACTATTAGCATGTATAGAAGCACACAACAAGGCTGCACTGTGAATGCTGCTGGCAGCATCAAAACAAAACTGTGTTTATTTAGCTCTATAGGTGTTAGAGATATCCCTATTGTGTAGGTACTGCTCAAAGCCAACTGTAACTTCCTCTAGTTGCACCCTCAGTGCAGTAACGTTTGTTTGGCCAATAGCTATACACTCGCTAATAACTCCTTCGCCTTATATGGTTATACTGGGCAGACATTCCTTGGCTATAGAAATAGTCTGCGGAGTGATTAGCTCCATGGCCCGCCCTACAAAGCACGCAATATATTATTGTACGAGGCTAACGGTTTACTTGAACGACTGTATCTTCGCTAATGGTAGGTTCTTCTTTCTTTGGTGGGAGGATCCCCTTGGCTCGTAGGATATCGTTCCATTCCGTGTCCTCGTTTGGGTTCTGCATTCTCTTCAACTAAACCAAGTACAAAACTTATTTACACTTACACGTTTTATCCATTTACACAGTATTCTAAGTATAAATCGGATGACGCTTGAACTAACCAAGTAAAGGTTTCTGGGAGAGCAGGTAAACGATGGCTCAGTTCTCGTTCTCTTGGTCGGTCGAGACCACGTTGAAGTAGGCGTGGTCCCGTGCTCCACGAAGCGGATGTGATAAATTTAGAATATCCCTTGTGACCACACCATGTGTTTCTATTTTCGGACATGCGTTACTAAATATAGGTCAGCTGGCGCATATAAATTTCGCGGCGGACGTAAACACTACCATGCCTCTCTTTCCCGTCATCAGCTGATCATGTCTCTGCAAATAATCTCCGTCCTCCCAGCTTTTGAAGAAGCTACGCGTTGCCTGCAGGACGACCCGTTCCACGGCTGCTGCGAGCTTCTTACCGCTTCTCACGCCATCCCTCCAGCGCCTCCTCTACCCGTCGACGGGTTCTCCACTAAGCCAACCGCGATCCAAGACACAGATTCCGGTTGCGGCTCGCTGGGTAAAGATTCCTACTTTGACGACCTGCCCGGCTGCAATGTGACTGACAGCGAGTTTAGAGAGAGCTTTGCCGTCTCCGCGGCCTCTTCACGCAGAAGCAGTTCGTCGCACGGTCTCGCGATCCTTCTAAACGTCGAAGAAGACGTGGCCGTATCTCAGAGGATACCCGAGCCCCCACCACCTCCACCGATCCAGTTCTTTATACCGCGAATCGCTCCCGTGATCCTAGAACCAGAGCTAGAGATAACTCCTCAGCGCCCGGAGCTCAACTTCCCAGTGCGAGCGTTCCGCCGCTACCTCAGCGACGACAGCGACATATCGAGCCTGTACGGGTCCCTTCAACGCATCAGCGCCGCTGGAAGAGACGAAAACAGTGGCCTGTTTCCTACGAGCGCCGGTACCTGCATCGTCTGCTACGATTCCGGCGACGCTTTCCTGAAGCTGCGGTGCTGCGACGAGATCGTTTGCTCGACGTGTCTAGCGACGACGATCACCACGCGCTGAGCGACGGACTCATCGAGTTCCCGTGCCCAAACCCCGAGTGCAGCGACCCCATTGGTCGACCTGAAGTCCTTCGTCACCTCACGGCAGAAGAGAAGGAGCGATACGAGAGACTCAGAGTCAACGCCGAGAGCGACGGCAAGCGAAAGACGTGCCCGCACTGTTCGCACATCACGGAGCACCACCTACCGCGGAGGGGACGATTCCGTAAGCGTCCGTTTCGCGAGGAAGAGGTGAAGATCGTCTGCGAAAACTGCCGCATAGAGTGGTGCTTCCAGTGCCACGCGCCCTGGCACCGTGACATGACCTGCAAAATCTTCATACGGGGCAACAAAATGTTCCAAACGTGGACCAAGGAGCGGCCAAACGGAGTGGCCAACTGCCAAAAATGCCCGACCTGTCGTGTGTTCATCCAGCGATCGACGGGCTGCGACCACATGACATGCAATCGCTGCAGAACACACTTCTGCTACAAATGCGGTGGCCGCTTCATCGATATTCCAGGTCTGGGGGACCACCACATGAACACGAGCATCTTTGGATGCAAGTACAACTACCTCCCGAGCGAACCAATAAAACGAAGGGCTCTACGAGGAGGTTATTTCGGAGCCAAGATCGCAGGATTAACGGGGTACCCTGTTCTGTTTGTGGGCGGTGTGGCAGTATTAGTGGTAGTTGGAGCAGTCGCGCTGCCAATCTACGGAGGTTACAGACTGTACAAATTCAAGAAGAACACAAGTCGAACGAGAAGACAGTGGAGGAGAAGGCATTGAGACTCTCTGCCATATGTGTGTGTCTTTTTTGTGAAATGTGTGTCGCAGTATATGTGTGCTTTTGTGTGTTAGTTTCTGAGTGTGTTTGTGTAGAACTGTGTGTGCATTTTGCACCATACAAAAAAGACTTTCAGCATCTCTCGCAAGTTATGCTCAGTTTCGATTTACCACACCTTTTAAAATATACCCATGTCCAGCAAAAGACACATCACATTGCTGTACATGAACTATCTCTTATGCCATGTTCAACAATTTATACCTTCGTGCGTCTGTTCTTTAGCTAGGAGTGACGATACTTATCTCTGCTCTCTGCAACGCTCAAGACCCTCTTAACGCTGTCCCTGCTGGTTCTCCCCTTGTGTCTGTCTCTCTCCCTTGACTCTGAGTGTCCGCTGTGTCGCCTGGCTCGGCTGGCTGACCTTGATCTCTTTCTCGACCCCACTCTCTCTCTGCTCCTAGATCTGCGAGAGTGTCTTCTTGACTTCTCCTTGCCCTTGGTTCCTCCCGAGCTTTCTTTGAAACTGGATCCTCGATCACCACAATGCTTGTGTGAAGACCTCGAATCACGTCTTTGTTTCTTCTCTTCTTGTTCTCTCTCTGGAGAGGGCAAATCTGTCTTAGTAGGTTCTCTGCTCAACTTTGGCTCGTCCGTTTCTCCTCTTTCCTTCGATTGATGTTCATGGTGGGTTGGTGATCTGTGTTCAATTGCAACTGAGGCAGCAGCGCTGTTAGAGATTTCGAGCATCCTTGCATTGATTATGTCACGCATCACCTGAGAATAATTGACATTCACAAATTCTCACGCAAAGCATACGAAAACACTCTAAGTAGCAAGTATTCAATACCATCTGGTATAGTAAACACACCATACTGGCATAGACAAAATCACTCTCTAGCACTATGTTGCCAAAGTATAAAGATGTTATTGGTACCACTCTCCGTCCTGTGTAGGTGTCAGACTTGCGATTATTCATGGTTGGGGCTAATGTTGTCATTGGTATAAACTTCCAAGAATAGAATCACTGCTTACTTTTAAGGAAATGGCAGCTACTATTTATAGAATACGATTACCAAAACACAGCTTTCTCCACAACAGCAAGGAGCATTACAGTACATCTATATTACATACCTGTGCTGGAGTTCGCCGCGTGATGTGGACATTACGAGCTCTATATTTCTGTCTTCTTCTCCTGTAGTCTCTCTCTTTCTTCATCTGGTGGAGACTGACCCTCCCTCCCCTCCCTCCCTCACTCTTCTCACTCTCCTCCCTTGCCTGCTGCTTCAGTTTTGCTACATAATCATGTGTAAGCCCCTCATGATAACGACGGTTATGCATCATACCCTTGTAATAAACGTACCCTTGTAAATAATTGTGATGATGTTTTAAAATTTAAAACCCACATGGTTTCTTATGGTTTTTTAAGGGCTAAAATGTGTATTCATGCACTGACCTTTGATAGCTGCAGCATCATCTCTATACAAACTGGGATCCTTTGACTGGCTTCCAGCAACTGTCCCCCCAACCTATAGCCATTATAACAACATTCAACCCACCAAGTCAATAGACAGTGGAACCTCTCTAACCCAGACACTGGAAAAAGTGTCAATATTTGTGAGGTGTCTTTATTCCAGGGGTTAAATTGGAAAAGAAAAGGTGCCCTTATTAGAGAGGTGTGGGTCCAACTGTACATGGTGTTCTCGCTAATACTGTTCATACATACCTCCACTACATAGTCGTAGAGTAGACTTCGTTCTTGTGGGGTGAGTATGTGAGGCACACACTCCATTGGAAGTGGAGGAAGAGGCGAACTGGGACGGCCATCTTCAACTGCCATTGCCTGCGTAAAAGACACACGAAGCATACAAAGCAGCTCTCGTATGCACCACAATAGGATTCTCTATATGAGACACAGAACTCAATGGAAACAGTTGTCCATACAATAGCTATGCATACGTCATGCAGGGTTAACACCTCATCTTTCCGGCAAGACTTTCAACTTCTGCTGCACGCTCGCTGGTACCACCTTTGCTATTCAGGAAGGTGATGGCAGCCTGTGGCAATGGTGTGAGCTCCCCGACCACATAGTCGAGGATTGTATGCTGTCTCTGTAGAGCCACCGTGTGCAGGAACTTCCACAGCCTCAAGACAAATGGTCTACACTCTGAAAGAGACAAAGAGACAAAAACCTTCACTTTGAGTCACTGGAATCTGTATGATGCATTAGGTGTGAAATACCAAGGTTATAAAGTGAAAAGTGGTTTAGCCTAACCTGCACATACTATAGCAAGGCTATGCTCACAAATTTGAGGTCATTTTCTCCCCTTGTCTGTTGTGTGTAAATGGTCCCTCGGGCGGCATAGTTTCAGTACAAACAAGTAATTTGCAGGGGGAAAGAATTTGGACTACAGTGGAACCCCTCTAATACAGACACCAATAAGACAGAAGAGTGAGGTGCCGGTGTCCTTATAAGGAAGAAGGTGTCCTCATTTCAGGGGTGTCCTCCGAGAGGGTTTCCACTGTATTGCTGTCTCCTCACGTTGGCCCAGCAGAGGTGCCAGTTGTTTGGTGAGTGTGTCAGGAGAGAGACTGGGTTGACTGGTCAGGGTCTGGACGATGGTCTCTGCTGCCTGGATCTCTCCTCCCAGCTGCGAGCTGTGATTTACACAAGACAGCACTACACCTCAAACCTGCGCTAAACAGTCATAGCCCGAAATAGCTCTTTGGCTTATAAATCACTGTCTACCTCACGTTTTTCATCTTTCCATTGTCTTAGCCCTGCCCCCTTCTTGAATTCAATTGCCTATTAACTTTCTGTTACTGTGTGTTATGCTATAAACTAGCTTTCTTCTCCTGAGTGTAGTTTTGTTGTTTGCATTTGCCTTGGCTTCATCGATGTTGATGACTCATGTGTATGTGAGCAAATGAAAGCACTAATAGGTTCACCTGTATATGTGTTTGTCTGGGAGGTTAGTAAAGAGCCAGGCCTTCACCTCCACTGGATTGAGGCTACCACTGGAGATATCCACAAAGTCCGCAGGCACCAGAGGCCAGGCCTTGATATACCTGTGAACAGGACACACCAAGCAAAGGAATACTATGAATGGGCTGGACTGTTAAAGAAAGTGTGTAGCATGTATGAATGCATCCTGAATAAATGGAACCCTATGTACACTGCATAAGTACATTAACCTTATGCACACTGAATCATGCTAAATGTTGAACCTTCACAGGAGAACCTGTAAAATGCAAGGACGGAGAATCTAAAAGTACGACCCTCCGGCAGTATGGCTACAAAGTGTGCATGATTAGCACACAAAAACAAAACCGTATAGTGTGGAGAGGACCCTGAGCCATCAGGTCTGGTGGAGTGACCGTCTGGCTCTCCAAACTGGAGACTCCGACGTCATGTGACTCCACCACCACATCCGATTGGTCAATGTAGTCTCGTCTCTGCTGAGTTGGCTGCACACTTTCGGATCCCCTACAGAATAACGTGGGAACCCCTCTAATCCGGACACAAATGAGACAGAAGAAAATGGCCATAATATGCATGCAAGAACGTTTTTAAAACTATTTTTGAAGAGACAAGGTTCCACTGTACACCCCTTACTTACACTGTACAAGAATGAATCATTTATACAGTATAATTATATATATATATATATATAATGAATGCAGTATATATATATACCTATTTTCAGCAGTTGTTGCTGCATACTTCTTTACAGCCTGAACTATTGAGGAATCTACAGCACAAGAATAGAGTATTAATCCTTCACAAAACTGGTCCAAGATTTAATGCCGACTAACCAATGTTTACAAAGGTGCTATTACTGGTCCCCTTTTCTGACACAACCTCGTTGTCAGTGGTCACGCCCACCACCACATAGCGGCACTTTGGCTTGTGTTTCTCAACGGAAGACTTTGCTACGAAGTGGTGATCGTTGTATGGACACTGCATCAGGCAGGGTTGACCCTGTACGTGTGTGTGTGTGGGGGTGGGTGTTTATGTGTAAGGTACACCCACCACGTGATGAAGTTCAAAGTTCACATTGTTGACTATTATTATACAAAAGCTGAAACTAGCTCACTTGCTCCAGGCTTTCCTTGTTCCATCCCAGGGTCTCCAGAACTGAGTCCAGCCAGTGCTGCTGCTCCTCTATGAATAGCTTCAGAGCTGATAACTCGTCGTGCCGAGCCATCATTGCAGCGAGCGCCGCGCCGGCCGTGGGAGGTGTGTGCACGGGTGTTCCCACTGCGCATGCGCGGACTTGACATAAAAGCCGGCGACGACTAATCCCTAGGGACTGAGCACTTTGCTAGCCATTCTAATAGTGTACAAATCTTCAAAAATTTAAGCGATTTAGCTATATACGAGTCGGCAAGACGGTGTACATTGCAAACTACAGAATATAGTAGAACTGAGAAGAGTACTGCAGGACTATGGCACGCTGCTGCGCGTGTGATGGCTGCATAAAGTGGCGCAGCAGAAAGAGAGGCTCGATTCTCTTCGCAATTGTCTGTGCACTACTGCTAGTGAGTGAAGTAGCTACGTAGCTGCATATTGCTGTATATAGTCATACAGTGGCATAAATGTCAGTCTCATAGTGTAATTCATGTGCTCCAAAAGACAATTTACTCTGGTACAATAACACTGTTGTGGTACAGTTAGTTGCAGTGGAGAGGGTAGTGTTTGACACACTGGGCCAGATGTGGGGCACACTCATCATCAACTGTGCCACTGCCCTCTGCTCCCTTGTCGGCCTCGCCGGAGTCTGCATCTACGAGAAGATCGCCATTTCAGTGGTGCGTTCCTCTTCCTTCTTCCTTCTGTCTTCTATAACACTGATCTGCTATTTGCTTCGTTAGATTTACCTATTCATGTTGACCTCTGCTTGGTTAGCACACCTACACAAACTGAGATCATCAATATGTTGATGCATTGTACAGGGTGTGTGCATTAGATACAAAGTGTCTTTGTAAACACTTTTGCTCTTGCTGGGACTCAGCTGAGCCTGTAGTGTCTTCAAATGTGTTTGTTTAACCAAACATGTTGTCAGTGGTATAGCCGTTACGTGCTGCATTATGTCTAGACCTCTTGAAAGTCCATCACGCTATCCTGGGCATCGTGATTACACTACGGTGGGTCTGTGAATAGACTAATAACATTGATCCGTGTGTGGTGGAGTCATCATTCATGACTGGGTGGAGGCCTCTCTCTCACCAGTGCAGGACTCTCTGGAGTCAGTGATGTCATCTTACATCACTACAATAATTTGTATAGGCAATGATGCACTCGAGCAAGCGCACGATTATAATGCATGAGGGAGTATAATAGCCAGCTAAGTGAGTGCTATGTATATGGTGCTATGTGTGTGAAGTTTGTGTGTGTGTGTGAGCTCACCATAGGCACCATGTATTCAGTTGGTTCACAGCCTTCGTATTGCATTGACACATCCCAAATGAGCCGCTTGCTGGCATAACCTAATGCATAACAGACACTGTGAAGCCTTTATATTATAGTTGACTGCTATAATAGCTACTACCTTACATTTAAATTATGCCAATTTCCACTTGTATCGGTGCAAACAACACGTGTGCCAACGTAGCAGACTCAACAACTAAACAGGGAGTGAGCTATTCTAGACAAACACTGCTGTTCCCATGCTGTCTAGTGACCGTGGTCCAGGAGCACCGTGTGAACCTTGCCACCCAGCCAAGTTGTAACACAATAGCACATAGGTTTACACCGTGCAGGCTGTATATAGCTACATACCAATGGCTATACTGACAAAAGAATGGGAGGTGAACCGACCTGTCATGTCATGGACTGTAACTGATACCATGACATCTTGTCTATGTGGTCCTCTAGGTATATATAAACCGGTGCCTGTGAGACCACACAATCATTACACCTCCGGGTGGATGATTTCCTACCCACGAACCAGTATTCACCATCTCAATAGCACGGCACAATAACGTGAATGGAGTTAGCGAATTGGTCAAGAGCAAAGATCCAGCCCATTCCATTCTTACTTTACACTTAGCTACTATACAAGTCAATGTGTGGTCAAAAGTGACTCGTATAATATACACCTGCAGTTCACAGTGTGGAGCCTCATATCTATTGGACTCAACTGTGTCATCATACTCATCTATAATGATGTTGGACTCCTGAGCAAAGTAAGTGTGCACCAATGGATTCCCACTTTGTTGTTGCTCATGCTAATGTCACATTCACAGAAAGAGCACTATCTGGGGCTGTCAGTGAGTAATAATAACTGGTGGAGGACAAACGGTATAGGATGCAGGGACGTAGGAGGCACAGAAGGCAGTGCTTTGGGGAGCGATGGAAGCAGTAATACAGTGAAATGCACACTATCATATGCAGTAAGGGTGCAGTGTAATATAGCTCATGAGATGTGGGTGTTTCTTCTCCTATTCAGACAATTGAAACCATTCATGGTGTTGCTTACATTTTTCTAACAGTAAGTTAAGTAATGTGTTGATTGAAATTTTATGCATTATAATGTTTCTGCAGCTGATTACACTAATATTATCTTTCTGTCTGCTACTTTCGAAAAAGAAAGACAATCACGTACCAGGGGATGATGAAAGCTGTAAGCAAGACATAATATTGCAGTTTACTTCCTTGACTGCGACCTTACATTTCTATAGTCAATTTTGTGAGTGTGTCTCAGTATCAGACAGCCCCAAGGCCACATGGACACAGTCGCAAATGGTCATATTCTACATACGACACCACCATTTCATTATGGTAAGCATCTTTTACTGGTTGAGACTTAATTGGAATGGAATTATAATTGTCACTTTTTCCGTGCCACACAGATGAACTGTGACTACGTATCTGATGTTGTTTTGTGTCTGAAATGTATTACGGTTGTGTGTGACGTCATTGCCCGCTCTTCGCGCATGCGCAATTCAGTAAGGACTTTGCGAAGGGGCGCGGCGTGTGTGCGAAGCGGAATCGCTGTTTAGGAAATCGTCGAGTATAGAGTGAATCGGGAGTTTGCCGTCCAAAACCAGAGAGATGTCCGCTGAACAAAAGCCGAGACAAAAGCTGACAAATTTCACGGAGGCCCTCATATGTCCGCTCTGCCACAAGCTCTTCAAGGAACCGAAGACTCTGGGCTGCCTCCACTCCTTTTGCGAGGAATGTCTTTCCGAGCACGTCCAGGAACCAACTCCGGGTCACGAATCTGGGGTGGTCAAGGTAATTACATGTCCCTGGCCCTCGTACAGGTGCGGCCATGTAGAGGGGTTGAAACAGCCGGAGGTGAAAGCGATGAAAACTAATCTCGCGTACAAGAACATGGTGGAGCACTTGATGCTGGAGGAGCGCGTGAGGGGAGGGCCAGGATTCGACGGTTCGCAGCGGGAGCCCAATTGCGTGAAATGCGACAACTGCGTCGATGAGGACAAAGCCGTGGCGTTTTGCAGCGATTGCAACGACCACCTCTGCGAAATGTGCCGGGATTCTCACAAGAGCGGGAGGAAGACCCAATCCCACAAGGTAGCGCCTCTAGAAGATCTGTCTTCGAGCCCAGGCTCTGGCGGAGACGCGCCGCTCGTCACGCATAAGACGTGGGAAATGCGACAAGCACAGAGATGTCGATGACGACAAAATGCGGGAGGTCGGGGTCTATTGCAAGACGTGTGGCGAGATGATCTGCACTCGATGTGGCATCATTGAGCCACATGGGAGACACGAAAAATTTGATGCCGAACAGATCCTTGAAAAAGAACAGATCGAAGGCGAAGATGAAGTCTACAAGTCACGAATCATTCGGCATGAGAAGAAAGTGGAGGGAGTTCATGGAAATTTTTCCCTATTCATTTGTGAAATGAAGGAGCTTCAAACGCGCTTAAAGGAGCACCAAACGACTGCAAGGACCGAAATCGAAAGCCGGCTAAAAGAAATTCAGACCCAGCTGGAGAAAGACAAAGAGACACTTGCTGCAAAGGTTGACCAGATTTTTGAGGCAAAGAGCAAGCGTTTGGAAGATCAGATTGAGGAGCTCCAACGAATAGAGGCAATACTTAACGATTCGCGAGAAAGGATCACCAATACCCTAGCAATGGGCATCCCATCCGAGATCCTGTTCAACATGAAATATTTCATTAAGCGAAGTGAGTCGTTGTTCGACCAGTACGACACGTACGATCGCACTCCACGCGAGAACGACATTCTTCAGTTCAGTCCCAACGTAGAGTTTGATCTCAGTGGCGCAATCGGTACAGTTGCAGCAGATCCCTTTCCCGAGGCCTTCACTCTAGATGGACTCGACAGCATCCATTTCATCCAGGGAAAGGAAGCGCCTCTCATCGTTACATGTCGTGATATCGCAGGCACACCCCGACCAATCAAACACGATATCAAAGTCGAGTTGTGCCCCCCAGGAAACGGAGAAGCCTTGCAAGGCACAGTCGAAAGGGACGTCGACAAAGGAACATACAGAGTTAAACTGCAACCGAATTCTCAGGGCGACCACGAGCTAAAAGTGTCGGTCGTCGTAGGAAATGAAGAAAAGTGTGTCCCAATCACAGGAAGTCCATTCAAAGTGAGGGTCTCGCGTCCGCTGCTCGGAGGAATTGAGGCGGAAAACATTGCTATCGCTGGACTGCAAAATCCATGGGGGGTAGCAGTTTGGCATGGGGCAAAGCCTGAGGGGAGGGAGGGTGAGGATGGGGAGCCTGGTGGAGCGGGGGGTGGTGCTGGGAGTGAAGGTGCCGGTGTCCGCAACGACGACGGTGCAGGAGGCCAAGACGATGCTGCAGGCGCTGGCAATGCAGAAAATGGCGAAGTCGTGGCCATCACAGATATCGGCACCCACCGCCTACTTATCGTAACCAACAACGACTTCCAAAACCCAAGGTGGATCGGGAAAGAAGGCGGTGGTGAAGGCGATGGTAACTCGGAGTTCAACTCTCCCCGAGGAGTTGCCTTTAATCAAAACGGAGAGATCGTTGTGGTTGACAAGGACAACTGCCGGGTTCAAGTTATTTCGGCAGAGGGCGATTTCAAATCAAAATTTGGTACGCGTGGGTCCGAGAATGGTGAGTTCAGGAGGCCAACCGATGTGGTCCATTGACGCCAGGGGAACGATTACGTAAGTGACACGACAACAACCGCATCCGTACTTTAACCCCGACGGCAGATTTCTGGGGCAGTTTGGAGGGCCGGGCACGTTCAGCGAGCCCTACGCTCTGACCTGTGACGAACTTGGCCGACTTTTCATCACAGAAAGACAGGGTAACCATGTTCAGTGCCTGGTTTCCAAACCTCCCGACACTGCAGCTTCAAACGACAGTTCCTCGTCGGTCGAAAGCAGCTACGGAGCAGCTGGATTCGATATATTCTTTAGGTCGGAGAGCCTCTCCAACGATCCACTAGGCGGAATAGCTCACCACCCTGAAACCGGTTACATGGTTGTCACCGAAATGAGCAAACGCCATCTCTCGATCCTCGACAAGAACGGGCACATCCTTGCCCCCCTTGGGACGGAGGGTGAGCACAACAATGAGTTTCTAACCCCAATTGGAGTGAGCGTTTTGGGGGACTCTCGCCTTATCGTATGTGACTGCGGAAAGAGAAAGTTGATGATCTTTTCCATTGTTTAGACAATCTAGAGTAGACATACCTTATTTAGGAACTGTACACCCCTTATACTCTGTATAATAATATAAATTTAATGGTATTGTACAGTGTATTGCTTGTGTATGCTTTTCTTCTGAACGTATGACCTTTTGCTTGGGGCAGTAAAAAAACAGAAAATTCTTTGACTGATGGTACTACAAGATATAATACATTCTGGGAGGCAGCGCAAGTCACATAATGTTCAGTACTGAAATGGCGTACTTTTCGCCTTTGTAAGCTACAAGTACTACACGGGAATCGAGAGCTGATATATCGACCAGTTGCATGGTCTTTTTTCCTGGGAGTTTGACGGTTCCCACATACCCTCCTCCGTCCCTGTCAAATACACAGATTTTAGGGTTCCCCTCTTCTGTAACCAGAACATATCGTGTCTGTGGGTCGTACGTTAGTCCCCTCACTCGGTTCAATTGCGCTTCAGCATTTTCTTTGTTGGTGCAAACGTTAAACAACGCGAGTTCTGGTGTTTGCATTGGTTGTGGCTCAGATGCCTCTAGACTGGCGCTCGTGGCACTTCAGCGAGAGAATCTTGAACTGGTTCGCCAGGTTCTCAGTCACGAAAACGCGATCGCGGTAGCCCGCGCAGAGTGAGAGGGGCATGAGAAGGCAGTGCTTTGGGGAGCGATGGAAGCAGTAATACAGTGAAATGCACACTATCATATGCAGTAAGGGTGCAGTGTAAGATAGCTCATGAGATGTGGGTGTTTCTTCTCCTATTCAGACAATTGAAACCATTCATGCAGTTGCTTACATTTTTCTAACAGTAATGTGTTGATTTAAACTTTATGCATTATAATGTTTCTGCAGCTGATTACACTAGTATTATCTTTCTGTCTGCTACTTTCGAAAAAGAAAGACAATCACGTACCAGGGGATGATGAAAGCTGTAAGCAAGACATAATATTGCAGTTTACTTCCTTGACTGCGACCTTACATTTCTATAGTCAATTTTGTGAGCGTGTCTCAGTATCAGACAGCCCCAAGGCCACACGGACACAGTCGCAGATGGTTATATTCTACATACGACACCACCATTTCCTTATGGTAAGCATCTTGTACTGGTACAGTCTTCAAATGGTATAAGTAATTGTACACTTTTCGTGTCTGCAGATGAACTGTGACTGAACCTGATGGTTGTTTTGTGTGTTAAATGCCTTACGGTTGATTTGCCCGCTACTTCACCCACTTTGTGCATGCGCATTCAACAACGAGTGGCGAGGAAGCAATCGATGATAAACAATTCCTTCACGCTATCGATCCTCGAGCAGTGTTGTGTATGACCCTTGGTTTTTTGGTGCTTCAAGCCATTCCTATTATTTTGAAGAATTATTTTACATCTGTATAAAAAGATGAGAATAGCAGTACACATTTATTAGCATTATCAGGCTACCCCCACTCTGTGATCCAAAACTCACGAGATCGCGCATGCGCACACATTTAGGGTGGCGTACGTGTGAGCGCGCGGCGGGGTGGCACACAATTAACGCGCAGCGTCCAGCAGTGGGGAATATCCCTGGGAACGTCCCGCCCCTCGTTCGTCGGGCGTCGAAGTGCGAGCGCCTAGCCTAGCTGCCGATCACCGATCCCTTCCGTAGAGCTGAAGGTACACCGTGCTACAGATGGCCGCCGCCGAAAACACGTTGACCAAGTTTAGAGACGAGCTCACCTGCTCGCTTTGCCGCGAGCTCTTCAAGGAACCAAAATCTCTGTCCTGCCTCCACTCTTTTTGCGAGAAGTGCCTCTCCGACCACATCCAGAAACGCACTTTGGATAACGAATCGGGAATAGAAGACAACAGAAAAAGGGTTCCCTGCCCCCTGTGCAAACATGTGCAAGTTCTAGCACAGCCAGATGTAAAGGAGGTGAAAACAAACCTCGGGTACAAGAACATGGTGCAACACCTTTCGCTGGAGGAGCGCGTGCGCGATAGTTCGCAGTCGGACGACAGCAACGCCGCAAAATGCGACTTGTGCGTCAAGGGCAACAAAGCCGTGGCGTTCTGCAGGAACTGCAACGGGCGGCTCTGCGAGAGATGCCGTGAATCTCACAAAGACCAAAAGGCGACCGTTTCCCACACATTGATACCGCTGGGAGATCTTTCTTCCAGCTCAAGCTCGGGCGACGAAGTGCCGCTGGTCACGCACTATACGTGGAAGTGCGACAAGCATGGAGACATTGCGGATCCGCTGCGGGAGGTCGTTCTTTATTGTGCGACGTGTGATGAGATGATCTGCAGGGAGTGCAGCTTCGTGCAACCCTCACGGAAACCACGATAAATTCGAGGCAAAAAAGATCATCAATGACCCAGAATACAAGCCAAGGATTGAAACGCACGAGAAGGATGTAGAGAGAGTTGAGGGTGAATTTTCAACCTTCATTGCCGAGATGAAGGATCTCCAAGTACGCCTGAATACCCACAAAGATGCTGCAACTAACAAAATAGACGCAAGGGTAAAAGATATACACGACCAGCTCGAGAAAGACAAGAGCGCGCTTGTGGCAAAAGTTAACCAGATATTTGCTGCGAAGAACAAGCGACTGCAAGACCAGATTAAAGAGCTGGAAGAAATAGAGAAAACGCTGAAAGATTCACGAAAAGTGGTCAATGACGTCATAAAAGTGGGCATCCCAGCCGAGATTCTCTTTCTCATGGAGACATTCATCAGCCGATTGAAGTCGTTGTTTGACCAGTACGACACGTACGATCGCACTCCACGCGAGAACGACATTCTTCAGTTTAGTCCCAACGCAGAGTTTGATCTCAGTGGTGCAATCGGTACAGTTGCGGCAGATCCCTTTCCCGAGGCCTTCACTCTAGATGGACTCGACAGCATCCATTTCATCCAGGGAAAGGAAGCGCCTCTCATCGTTACATGTCGTGATATCGCAGGTACACCCCGACCAATCAAACACGATATCAAAGTCGAGTTGTGCCCCCCAGGAAACGGAGAAGCCTTGCAAGGCACAGTAGAAAGGGACGTCGACAAAGGAACATACAGAGTTAAACTGCAACCGAATTCTCAAGGCGACCACGAGCTAAAAGTGTCGGTGGTCGTTGGAAATGAAGAAAAGTGTGTCCCAATCGTAGGAAGTCCATTCAAAGTGAGGGTCTCGCGTCCGCTGCTCGGAGGAATTGAGGCGGAAAACATAGCTATCGCTGGACTGCATCCGTGGGGGGTAGCAGTTTGGCGTGGGGCAAAGCCTGAGGGGAGGGAGGGTGAGGATGGGGAGCCTGGTGGAGCGGGGGATGGTGCTGGGGGTGAAGGTGAAGAGGCTGGTGTCCGCAACGATGACGGTGCAGGAGGCCAAGACGATGCTGCAGGCACTGGCAATGCAGAAAACGGCGAAGTCGTGGCCATTACAGATATCGGCACCCACCGCCTACTTATTGTAACCAACAACGACTTCCAAAACCCAAGGTGGATCGGGAAAGAAGGTGGTGGTGAAGGCGATGGTAACTCGGAGTTCAACTCTCCCCGAGGAGTTGCCTTTAATCAAAATGGAGATATTGTTGTGGTTGACAAGGACAACTGCCGGGTTCAAGTTATCTCGGCAGAGGGCGAGTTCAAATCAAAATTTGGTACGCGTGGGTCCGAGAATGGTGAGTTCAGGAGGCCAACCGATGTGGTCATTGACGCCAGGGGAACGATTTACGTAAGTGACACGGACAACAACCGCATCCAGTACTTTAACCCCGACGGCAGATTTCTGGGGCAGTTTGGAGGGCCGGGCACGTTCAGCGAGCCCTACGCTCTGACCTGTGACGAACTTGGCCGACTTTTCATCACAGAAAGACAGGGTAACCGTGTTCAGTGCCTGGTTTCCAAACTTCCCGACGCTGCAGCTTCAAACGACAGTTCCTCGTCGGTCGAAAGCAGCTACAGAGTAGCTGGATTCGATATATTCTTTAGGTCGGAGAGCCTCTCCAACGATCCACTAGGAGGAATAGCTCACCACCCTGAAACCGGTTACATCGTTGTCACCGAAATGAGCAAACGCCATCTCTCGATCCTCGACAAGAACGGGCACATCCTTGCCCCCCTTGGGACGGAGGGTGAGCACGACAATGAGTTTATAACCCCGATTGGAGTGAGTGTTTTGGGGGACTCTCGCCTTATCGTATGTGACTGTGGAAAGAGAAAGTTGATGATCTTTTCCATTGTTTAGACAATCTAGAGTAGACATACCTTATTTAGGAACTGTATATACACCCCTTATACTCTGTATAATATAAATTTAATGGTATTGTACAGTGTATTGCTTGTGTATGCTTTTTTTCGGAACATGTGACCTTTTGCTTGGGCAGTAAAAAAACAGAAAATTCTTTGACTGATGGTACTACAAGATATAATACATTTTGGGAGGCAGCGCAAGTCACATAATGTTCAGTACTGAAATGGCGTACTTTTCGCCTTTGTAAGCTACAAGTACTACACGGGAATCGAGAGCTGATATATCGACCAGTTGCATAGTCTTTTTTCCTGGTAGCTTGACGGTGCCCACATACCCTCCGTCCCTGTCAAATACACAGATTTTAGGGTTCCCCTCTTCTGTGACCAGAACATATCGTGTCTGTGGGTCGTACGTTAGTCCCCTCACTCGGTTCAATTGCACGCCAGCATTTTCTTTGTTGGTGCAAACATTAAACAACGCGAGTTCTGGTGTCTGCATTGGTTGTGGCTCAGATGCCTCTAACTGGCGCTCTTGGCACTTCAGCGAGAGAATCTTGAACTGGTTCGCCAGGTTCTCAGTCACGAAAACGCGATCGCGGTTGCCCACGCAGAGTGAGAGAGGCATGTTTGGGATAGTGTACACCCCCAGTGGTTGAGCATCTGCCGTGGCATCTGCCATCCTGAAGAATTGTACACGGCAGTTAACAGCGTCGGCTACAAAGATGGTTGCAGAGTCCTCGGACACAGACACAGCCACATCTCGTGGCTCAATGAATTGCATACAATGCCCCCCATATCCACCGATTGCCTTGAAAAACACGCCTCCGACCGACAAAAACTGGACTCGATGGTTTCCTGTGTCGGCTACGACTACATTCTCGCCCCACCAGTCCACTCCGCGAGGTGAATTGAACTCCCCCTCGTCCTCCCCTTGATCCCCAATGACATTACACACACTGCCCGTCTAAAGCGAGGATGAAAATCTTGTGAGCTTCTTTGTCAGCTACAGCGATGTACTGCCTGCTGAGCGCGATACCGGCCGGACGGACCATCTCGCGGAGGTCTTCACGGCTGATTGTCTTCTCAACCCTGGCCTCTTCAGGTAGAGTCGGTGACACAAACACCGTGAACGGTGCTAGCTGCACTACCCCCCCACCTTTGGTATACTGGACTTCAAGGTGAACAGAGTGCTCCCCTGAACTACGAGGCTCCAACGCACCAGTAAAAGTCCCATTTGGATTTTTCCTAACGGGAAACATCCTTGCGTCTGGCCTCACCTCGGTAAGAGCGACCTCGAAATCAGTTGCAGGAAGTGGGGTGCCCATTGAATCGCGGCAGGTGAGTTGAAACTCCGTCTTCTTCCCCTGTCGGAATGGTACGCGCTCGAATCCCTCAGCGAGAGAGTTTAGGTCAGGATTTGTGTAGACTTGACCAACAGCGCCGTTTAAACTGAGGTCTGGGTCCAGTGACCGAACGAATACATCACGTTGCAATGGCTCGAGGGGGTGGAGCTCATACTTCTGGCAGAGTTGGCCCAACCTTTCAACCAGTGCATCCTCTTGTTCCAGAATATCCTCTGGAATACACAGCAGAGTATTCTTGGCAAACTCGATCGAATGAGACATCTCTCTTCTTTCGTCCTCGAACTCCTTCAATTTCCCGTGAATCTCTTCCACACGGGCATCGTGAATGTGATTTACCTTTCTGAGGAGGGCTTCTTGCTCAGCAAAAAGACCCTCTTGAAGATTTTGCATTATAATTTCGACATGCTCAGAAGCCAAACGGCATTCTTTTTCAAAGTGTTCGATTTCATCGTCTATGCTGTGCAAAGCCCTGTCGTAATCAGCAGCAATATGCCGCAGTTCCTCGAGATGGGGTCTGATGTTGAACTGTTCGTCTTGTCCTGCCAAGAGTCTAGGTGCTGTTGTTCTCTTGTGCTCACTGTGATCACAAGTTGCGCACGTGATGCATATCATCTTCTCACACTTTAGGCAGTAAAAGCTCGCTTCTTCTACTGTTTCTTCTGGCTCGCCTCGGTGGCCTTCGCACTTCCACCGTTTCTTGTTCGTAAAATGATCGAGTTTACCACGCGCAGTTTGCGCCACTTGAAGTACCTCTTGCAAGTCTTTGACGATGTGGTCTTTTGGGTCGGTGACCCTTTTGTGGTAGTCGGAGCACACTTGGCACAGCAACACCCTGCACCTTTCGCAGTAACCCTTCGCCTGGTTGTCGGGCGCGGTACATTTGCCGCAGCTAGGATCGGGAGAACTAAGCATCTGGTAGCAGGAAGACGCTCTTTCGATGAAGTAGTCGGTTTTTAGGCCATTTTGAATGTCCTGCTGCCCCTGTTGGTCGTCGAGGTAGTGACAAGCGCCACACGATGGCGCCGGGCAAAAAACAAACGGCTTTCCTTCGTCTGTGTGCTCTAGTTTTAGGCACTTCAAACAGAATGTGTGAAGACAGTGAAGCGTTTTTGGTACCCTGAGGTTCAGGCTGAACGGGTTCTTACAATCAGGACACAATAAGTCTTCCATCGTCAGCGAGCTCTCCATTGCGAGTCGCGGTGCGTAATTAGGATCGCGTGCGCGTATAATATAAGCGTCAACGCTCGCCGGGCGCACACCGGTGCACCTACACCGCGACCGTGATGGGGCCGTGCTGCTGCAAGCCGAAACATGATGAAACAGAACTCTTGGTACGTAACTAAAAAGGTATAAGAGATAGCTACTAACTAGCTAGCTATGTTATCACTACACAGCCCGGCTATGGTGCAGTCGAACGTCGAACGTCAAGTCTATCGTCGAGTGTCACTACAGGGAGAGGCATGCACGGAAGGGAGGCCTACAAATTCCACCCACCCACCTTTGAATACAAGGAACCTGACGACTTGATCAGTTCTTTTCCACGCGAATCATTTCAATCAGCTCAAAACGTAGCAGACCTGTTTACCCAAGCAAGAGCGGTTTGCGTGGGGGTAAACGATTGTCTAAATGACTGCACGAGGCAGCTAAAGCTCCCAAAGCACGCTTGTCTAAGTGCCTGCATTGCCACAATAAAGGATAATCTGCGAGGATGTGCAGTTGAAGTTGATTTTGTGGACGCTCAACCTGAACGTGGTTGTCCGCCACAATTGGTTCTCTCACAGGAAGGTATAAAGGGGAATGTGGACTTGGCGTGTAACAGACTAAATGAAGCCCTTAAATTGGCTTTTGAGTTTTCCAACGATGAAAAACATGGGACACTCAGGTATGACAAGGCTTTAGTGGGAAATTTCCAGAAAGAGTCGCACTACTTCAGTGAGGTGGTTCCAGAATTGCTGAGATATGCTGAGTTCAGTTTCAGCGTCAAGAACCAGACAGACAATTTCCTGTCAGACTTTACTGCATGGATGCATGACTGTCAATGATTATTCATCACCGTTGGGCGGTGGGTGTGGGTTAGCCTCGCGGAGCAACGCGTTCTCAAGTGGCTCCGCGAGGCCAGCTACGCGCGCGTATGCAAACGGCATGTGAATGGCGGCACCGTCTAACATCGCCGTTGTCCTGGGGAAATTCAAAGAGGAGCTGACTTGTCCTATTTGCCAGGAGATACTAAAAGAACCCAAGTCGCTTCCGTGCCTTCACTCGTTCTGCCAGGAATGCCTCGAAAAATACGTCCGTCTCCGACCACTGAACGACGAGGTAGAAGAGGGGGCGCCGCTGGACGTTCGCGACATCGTCCCGTGTCCCAAGTGCAAGATTCGGGCGCAACTGGACCCCGTCGGCGGGGAAGGCGAGGCGGGCAGCGTCGTAGCAAGCCTCAAGACCAACGCCTGTCTGAAGAACCTGGTGAGGCACTATAAAATCGCCCAGGAGGTGGTTGCGGCCCGTAGGTCTAGGTGCGGTTTTTGCTCAGCGGCGGATAACGAGGCCGTGGCGTTCTGCCAAACCAGATGCAACCGATTCTTGTGCCAGCCATGCTTGGAATCACACAGGAGGATGACCCTTTCGTCGGGTCACAAAATTGTGAGCCTGGAAGACGTTCGCTCGAATGGAGAAAATTCACCAGTGCTGCAGAGTTACAGAACCAGAAAGTGTAGCGAGCATTTCGTGGAAGGACGTGACGACCCGAACGAGCGAATGACTGACATTAACATCTACTGCTTCCAGTGCAGGAAGGTTATCTGTTGCATGTGTGCCATTACTGAGCACCAACCACACAACCCCAAGAAGGTGGCAAGTATTATCATAAATGATCCTGACCACCGTCCACTAATCGTAGCAAAGATCAAGGAAACCGAACGAGTCATGCACGAACAGCTCGATATGAGCTCCGCGAAGCTCCAAGGGAGAAAATTCCACATCGAAGACGCCAAATTGAACACCGAAACGAATATTAAAAAAATTGACTTCATGAGGTTGAAGTCAGAGCTCGACCAAGGAAAGGAATTCTTACTGCGGCGCATAGAAAACATCCGCCAGCATCATCTTAACACTCTTCGCCAGCAGAGAAAAGCACTCGGCAGCAAAAGAGCGGCAATCCAGCGTACCATCAACTTTGTCGATCGTCGTCTCAATCTCGGTAGTCACGAAGACATAGTCCACTTCAGCAAGGAGATGAACCAGCAAGTATCTCGTCTTCTCTGGGAGTCGAGGGAGGACCCACCACAATGTGCCTACAGGAGGGTGGTTAATCTTGTTCACGAGGAACAGAACATGGCTGGGGTGATGGGAAACGTATCGGCCGAGCCTTGCATCGAAATTTTCACCGCCGACGAAATCCACAACGTTGATTTCGCACGCTATAAGGAAGTCGAATTCACCGTCACTGCTCGCGACGTTTTGAGAAACGAAGCAGCTGCAGACGATGATATGGTGCTTGTAGAGCTTCAGCCTGTGGGTCGGCCTGCTGACGAGATTGTACGAGCAAAGGTCACGAAACTCCGAAACGGAAAGTGTCTGGTGACGCTAAAACCACAGAGAACTGGGGATCACACACTCAGCATACAGGTGGCTAGGGCCGGCCAGTTTCAACACATACAAAACAGCCCCTTTCGAGTTGTAGTAGCGGTTAACCTTTCAATGAACCTCTACGAAGTGTAGTACAGTACTGTTTCCACTCAGTAAACAATTTCAACGTACAGAGCTGTATCTGTAAGTATCATTACCATGTACTGTGTATGTATGTATTATAAACACAAGTCACAGTTTGCTGCCGAGTTTGGCTTGAAGAACTTTCGAGGCCGGTTTTCTCCCTAGGAATTCAGAGATGTATTGCCCTGCGTCCAGAAGCTTGTCCAAATTAACTCCCTGCAAGGAAGTGCACACGTGACAGTGTTACATACATAATTAATTCCATAAGCTTGTCATAATTACCTAAAGGAAAAAGACCAGCTTTTTTGCCTGGTGTTGAACTCCGGTTGGCGACTGCAAATTTAATTGCACTAAGCAGTGAGCTAAAACCGCTGAGTAAACCCAAGTTTTCCTGCTATATATAATTATGCTGATGATAGTATCAACATCCCACTGCAGGTAGTCTTGCGAAAGGAATAGATGGCCCACAATACTCAACCTTTTTGTGTTAACATTAAGAGCTATAGTGGGTATAACTCACTGTGTGAATGCCAAGGCCATTCAGCATGTACACAACATCCTCTGTGGCAACATTACCAGCCGCTCCAGGGGCATAGGGGCAACCCCCTAGACCAGACACCGATGCATCCACCACCGACACACCGTTCTGAGGGCCAACAAAAATGCCAATATTCTGCAGACTATCAAAACTACTGTGATAACAGTGGGCTAAACCTTTCCCAGTACGAATCACTATAGCTAACCATGGTACAGTCCCCAACGTGGACAAAGGTCATTCACAACCATGTGGGCCACATCTTCTAGTAAACCTGGCATGCACCCACATGGAGTATAGCCCACCACCCCCCCAACCAACACACATACACACACTACGATTGTAAACTGTGTGCGTGTTTACTCCATAGCTAAAATACTAAGTAGAATGCAATGCATTTGGGAGCATTTGAACCGCTGTATGCAGTGTTCACACATGCACATACGTAGATGCAGAACATTGTTGACGTTGGTCATTACATAATATGGGGAAGAGCGCAATTTTCAGACAATTACATAGGTAGGCTTGCCTCGCTCACCAACAATTAGTGTGGAATTTCAGTATTGCAAGATAAACTGGAATACTATATTCCGCTTAAGTCCAAGTACTGGAGATAGCATGATATAATTATATTAACCAAGGCATACTGGAACACCTTTTACGTAATTTGGTGCTGGCTTTATATCTCCAATACAAACCCACTACATTATGGCTATGATGATAATACCTGCAGTGCAATGAGGATGTTGGCTAGGGCTTGGCCGTACGTGTCATGGCAGTGGACTGCTAGGCAGGAGACTGGAAGACGTGTCTTGACCTCCTCCAACATGGCAAGCATAGAACCTGTATGACCACCAGAGAATGTACTATGGAATCATAATGCAAATAATCTGTAGGTATAGATGCACACCAATGAACTCTGCTTCATAAAAGGGGGCTTATGCTGTGGCAGTTTCATTTTGCCGCGGCAAGACGGAAATGCCCGGGCAAATATCGACGTTTCGAATACTGGCACTTATTCCACTCCATAGGGACTGCACTGCACCATTGTGGCACAGTTGTAAGAAACTATAGTGTATCCCACTTTCGTATGAAGGTCACATAGACAGATGAACAGTAAACCAAACAGTCAGATACTGTTATTTCAGCCGACCAAGTCATGCCACATACAGGTTGGTCCTAAAACAACAAGGCGTGCTGGAGTTTCCTTACACACAGACACAAACAATAACTCTGAATGCTGCGGAAAAACAACTTTACCAGGTGTTCCCACACCAATGGTGTCCCCTAGAGATATCTCATATGCCCCCAACTCCTTCAGTTTCACTGCCACCTGTAAACAGCAGTCAGCTTACGTGGAAATAAAGCATTCTACTGTCCCTATAGTTACAACTAATGGGGCAGCATATAGCACTAAAGTCCACTCACATTCACCTGAACCATGGAAGTCATTGCGTAAGCAAGGCGTCTAACTGCGGTATTGTCCCTATGCATATAGCACTAAAGTCTATTCGTGTTCACCTGAACCATGAAGTCATTGCGTAAACAAATTTCCTTACGGCATACATTTCTTATGGGATATACAGCTAACTTCTGACTGATAAGGCGTTTATTCAAGGACATCGTCAGAACGGGAAAGTTGTAAGGATTCCCTTCCGAAGGTATTAGCGTTTTTCAAATGGGTCTAAAGCTATGACAATTATTCGAGGGCTCAGGTGTAATCAAATAGATTATGTTATGACTTTGGGGCCATATGTTATACCATTACACCTGCCAGAGTGTGTGTGCTTAGTGCCAATAATACTGCAACGTGGGACAGAATTGCAGGTGCAACTGCTGGAAAAACAATACACCGTCAAATGCCCTTTCATAATTTTGCCAAAGTAGCAAGATGCACGTACACAAATGCCTGGTGCCACAGCCACATTACACTGACTTCAGCCTCGCCCCCAAGACCCTCTCAAGACCCTCTCAAGAACAGAGGGTCCTGGGGGCCGGTGAGGCTAAACTGATTGTTATAAACTTATGTATATACCTCAGCTACTGCTTTAGGAGAAACAGCTCCTTCGTACGGACACCCAAGGACACACGATACGTAGCTGCACATGGGCGCATAATGTAAGACACAGGAGGTGAACGGTTATTATCACGTACGCTCTAACGGGGATTTTTCTTTCGGCCGCTGCCTCGCACACTTCTCGAAACCTCTCCACACTTTCATCAATCGTACAGTTGATATTTTTCCTGCGGAGCAATAGATGATTGCCTGTATACACTCACAACAGTGCATAGTATAGCTGAATTTTTATTAGTATCATGGTATGTTATTGTCTGTGTTTTGTGTGCTTGGGTGGGGGAGGTTCTTTCTTTTCCTCTGAGCTAGTATGCTATAAACATGTTTTTTCATGGATGTGAAATTTCATTAAGAGGAGTCAGAAAAAAGCTCCCAACATCGATTTTTACTTTGAAAAGGTTTCTGAAGCAGCTCCAAATATCGATACTTCAGTGGCTCCAGCCTCCACCTGTAATTCACAGAGAAGACAATTGTTTAAAACCACAAACTGTTTGAAAGGACATTATATACTGTATATACAACCAGAATACTGGTGGCCATCAAATTTCGTGGATTTTCCTCAAAGCAGTCTTATACAGATTACAGTATGTGGAGACTATTTTGGGTATAATACACACAACAACAATAATTTTGGTGGATCGAATAATTTGGTGATTTCAAGTGCAACTACAAATCAAATCTGTCGAAATTTCCAGTTGTGGAGTATTATTATATACCGCAGATTGAAACCCCAGGAGATTAGGAGTGAGGACAGGGTAGATTACACCGGGGACTCGGTTTATTCTCCTCATCACCGTCACGTGATCTGCCATCTGCATGCAAGAGAACACCAGGCAACCTCTTCCACACGGCACATACACACTGCTAGCAAGAAGGCAATCTTTGGTATAGCTTAGACAAAAGCTATGCTTGTGCTATGAACTATAAAAACTGCATACCGTATTTCCTCGATCAGATGTCGTGGCTACAATTTGAGGTGCAACGTCTAATTGAGGAAATATTATAGTAGTGGGAAACTATATTGAAGGAGAAAATTTATAAAAACTTTAATTCCAGGCTCTTTCAGGGAGGGAGAGGGTCAGGCCAAACTGCTATAGTAGTTATGCAGATTTGACAATCCTTAATCACATCGCTTTGCCAGCAATACATTCCTGGTAGGTGGCCTATATAGCTAAGTACCACGTACTGTCATACCTGGGGTACCCATTTGGGAGAGACAAATGAAGTTGTTTCAATGACGGGCAACCCAGTCTCCGAGAGCTTGTTGATCAGTTGCACTTTGACCTCGGTAGGCACTGGAGTCTGTAACATTGACAACCTCAATTGCACTAGCTACATATAATATGCTGCATAAACTGGGACCATAAGAAAAATAAGTTTCAATGTGATGGTGGAACAAAGGGTTAAATAGTGTATCTCAAGGTGAGTGTAGGTGTCAATGCTAAGCCGAGATGGCACCTTTATAGAGAGGGCTTTACCTTTTCATTCTGCAGCCCATCCCTTGGACCAACTTCCACGATTTTCACCTTTTCTGGTAGGCAACTGGCAGACAGATGTCTAACCTAAAAAAAACACGCACTATACATAGCTGCAGTATGTTCGATTTCTTTATATAGCTGTGCTACGATTTTACCCTGTGGGTGTTGATTCTCAGGAGTCTGTGAACTGTAGAATACATGCCTTTTCAACGGGTGGGCGGGGCTAGGTTCGGTGTGCTACGCGCATGCGCATTCTGCGACGAACACGCAGTTTTTGGCACGGACTGTCTCGGCGTCCGCCAAGTAAACTGAAAGGGGAATTTACCAGGGAAAGACCAACAGATGGTGGTGGTGGTTAGGCATTTATAAATTTGCAGAAATAATAGCTGCGCTATTCAGTCAAAGAGCTGGCGCCATGGCTACGGGCGGCGGCGGAGAGCTGCGACCTCTGCAGCAATTTCGCGAGGCCATCGGTTGCACTCTATGTAACAAAGAAGTACCAGCGGCGCCAAAAACCCTGCATTGTCTGCATTCCTTCTGCGAGGACTGCCTCGTACGATACGCTAACGACCTTCCGGACGATGATCGGCGGCGCGAACTTCCCTGTCCGACTTGCGACGTCGAGCAAAATCCGCCTCTCCTCGGGAACGGGAGCGAAGCTGTCGTTCAGAACCTACCGACAAACCTTTTCTTCGAGAACTTTTCGCGACACGTCGCGAGAGACACGGCGCGTCATTCCGACCCGGGTTTGATCCAGTGCGAAGACTGCGAAAAGGCGGGGAGAAAAGCGGACACGTTTTGCACCGTGTGTCGTATCAGTCTTTGCGATAGGTGCGTGGAGCGCCATCGCGACGCTCGAAGAACGGAGAGGCACGAACTGGTGGATAAGAGGACCAACCCCGCCCGACACGGACGCTGGAACTGCCCGCAACATGAAAACGCGGCTCCGGGACACTGCAACGTGGAAGTGTACCTCTACTGCACGGATTGCAGGGTTCTGCAGTGTCAGACGTGCAGGGCCACCCACGAGCCGGGCCACAGGTCAACGACTGCACTGGAGGCGTACAGAGACCAGAACCACGTCGACAGAGTCGCACAGCAATCCGACGAGACGGCCCAGATGGAGCGAGTCTTCGCCACAACGGTTGGACAGTTAGAAACCTTGAAGCAGCAGCTGGAAGAACGAAAGGGAAACGCAGAGGCGGAAATTGACAGAAAAACGGAGGCTGTGCGTCAGGCACTGGAGGAGGAGAGCAGACGTCTCAAGCAAGACGCAAACTCCATCTTTGAGCAGAAGACAACACATCTGAACCGACAGATAAGGCAACTGGAAGAGATACAGGAAAAATTCAAGCACTCGCTCTACATCACGAAAGGTTCGCTAGAGTTTGGAGAAGCTGAAGACGTACTTCTCGTTGAAGAACCACTGGTCAGAGGCCTACAGGGTCTGCGTGAAAGATTCCACAACTACGACCACACTCCCTGCGAAACGACATGATAAACTTCGAGGAGAACTATCGCCCAAACATGAGAGGGATTTTGGGTCGTGTCCTATCCGATGCGACGAATCCAGACCTGCTCATTCCAGGTCTCGGGGGGAGACCAGTGGACACCCGCTTTTATGCCGATAATCTTTGATTGACGTCGTCTGACGAAATCCTTAATACCACCAGACAAAATCCATTACCCGTATATTATATTCTAATGTGTTTTTAAACATCATCGGACAAAATCCACTACCGGTTATGCCAAAATCAACTAGCTACTTGCATTATCTCCATTATCATCACCATTATACACATTCCAATGTTTGGAGCAGATTAATGTGTCCTAATGTGGCAGTGCTATGATGCTCACAGACTAATGATCAAAATCACTAGAATATTTGAAAATACAGTTATTATAGGAGATTGAGGAAAGTCAATCATGCAAAAAAATAATTATTTGTCCAAGAGTCATTGTTGTGAGGATAGTAGTTTAGCAAAGAAGGGCACCCACAGGTGTAGGATCAAGTTCACTGCAGACAGAATCTCGACTGGTTTGTGTCTCTTGGACGACCGAGACTGTGGCGGCAGCACAGTGAGCAACAGTACACTCTGTGGCAGTACATATATAGGGGGAAAAGGAGAGAGGGATTAATGTGAAGAGGTCAAAGTGCATTGGTGAAACGTGAGTGCATCAAAGGAGTTTAGTGATTTCGATATTGCTTGCTTCACAGTATATAGCAAAATGTTCCTGCCCAACAGCAAAGGTCCCTTATATAGTGGGCTAACAATGAACCAGAGATTGCGAGTTAATAAATATCCTCACCCTTTAATCGTTCAACTCCACCCCCTTATTTTCTTTGTGTTGTGTATGTAAAACGAGGAAGAAATTAATTGCTCAAATGTGCTCTTACCCCAACCAGAGCCAACTGAAGAGGCCAGAGCAATCCGTGAAGGTCCAAAGCATATGACGCAATCATCCCCATCGCAGAGAGCACTGATGTTGCCACAAACACTGGCCACTTTCCATATATCACCAGGTACGTTCCCTTCAGCTGCACGAATAAACAATCGTCAGCACGACTTTCACTATGGTAATGCTACAGTGTTCAGTATTGTCCTCTCTCTAGTAAACTTACATACATGCAAAATGATGCATACGAGCGAAACCCTCATGTATACCTCGCTCAGTATAAATTATAATTCTCTTTATTCCAGTGTGCCATACAATGCATGGGAGTATAATAGAGAAATGGCCACACAAGTAGGGAGTTGAGAAATGGCCACAATGTCCATAAAACATGACAAATTGTCTGTATGCACATTATTCAATTAACCACAAACTTGGCATCTCTGCCATTAAATAAGGGTCAGTTTTTATGCTAGTAAAAACATGCATACATTTAAAGCACCTTTGGCAGATAAGGGTCAAGTTTTCGACAGATGTCGTACGAGAAGAAAGAGGAGAAGATGAGGCAACCGGAGAATAATCCCTCCCAGCTGAACAAACCGTCGCCCCTCAGGGAAGTCAGGAACATGGGGATTAAGAATGCTGATATCTACGAAACATTCCGGAACACAAGTCATAATAGAGCGTCTTTACAATGGAACGTGTTCACAAATTAACTAACAGTACAGTATCGTGCACTTTGTACCAATAGCACTGGTTCCACACTAGAGTGCATGTCCCCTGGATTGAGTAATTGAGTCTATAACATGATTCAGGCAATGAATTCAGCTTATAATTAGCTTCAGCTATACATGTATGTTCCTACGAACTATATATACACCATATTGTGGCTAACCTCATGAGTGAAAGAATAGAGAAATGGATTCTTTTCCAGCCATTCCCCAACTCCAAACTCAACGTACATCAGGTACCCATAGGCAACCTGTCATAATTGTGAAGAAACATCAACTGTTTAACAATAGCAGGAAGTACTGTGGTTAACACAATTCCTTATACTTGGCTTGATCAGGCTTTGAAATGTAGTGCATTACACCCTGGAAAAGCTTTAATAGAACATTAAGCAAGACAAAGTGTTACCACAAACTACGTATGTATGTACCTGAAACTCATAGCTGACGCCAACTGGGGCCCCATAACGAAGGCCCAGTAGAACGCCATACACCACAGTGGACAGCATTGCAATGTTGAGAAACAGCGACACCTCTTCGAACTTTATCAGCCCTCTAGGTAGTGGTCTGCATTGTACCATTTATACACATAAGTTATGCTGTGCTCTATACATACGTTAGAGAAGTTCAGTTATGCTGCATTATAATTATTATGCCATGTTCACCTGTCCGGATGCACAATTTTATCTTTTTCGTAGTCTTTCACGTCGTCCATGATTCGAACCAAAAGCAAGAGCACCTGCAAAGGATATACCTAACGTGTTCCAATGCCGTGGAGAAGTACATATGTAGTTCAATCGGTGCCTTAGGACTAGTGCGTGCAAGTGTATAATGTCATACCTGCTCTCCTAGTATGGCCCATATGAACTTCTCAATCGGAAAACCTAAAGTGAAGACACACAGTAATAGTACCATAGACATTCTAGCTGGTGTGATAGTACAAGATTGGTACAATTACGCACCCTCAGTCTTGCTGTAGAGTATCGAGAGGCAGGGACCAGCTGCCATCATTAGGAAAAACAGTGGGGGTGCTCGCTCGCTCAAAAATTTCATCCAGTTGTGTAAACTAGCAAAAAAGAACGAAGAATTTGTAGACCATACCGCATAAGACTTTGGGTATAAAGACTTACTCCCACGGCTGGTACGCGGCCGGTTTAGAGACCTCTTTTGGGGTCTTTTCTTCCGCAGCATGTGTCTTTCTCTCCATGATGACTTCTAGATCCAACTGCAAATGCTTGCTGTAGTCTGTAGGACGCTCGGTCCACACTCTAACAGGTTAACCCCCAGGTTGCATTAATTAGAACTGTCGCTGCGCGTTAAATAGAAAGTTTAGTGTTCTTGTGTTTGCAGCCATGGAAGAAGAAGCAGAGGACTCTAAGCCAGTCAGGAAGATGGTGGAGTATTACATCGACTCCACCTCTGACGAGGAGAGCAGCGAGGAAGACGATGGAACGGAAGCCACCCTCACAGCGTGAGCCTACAAGCTTCGTGTTGTTTATGGCTATAGCCCAGTTAGCTACTAGGAAGACATGCTCTAGAGGAGCGTAAATTACACTTGAGAATGTGCAAAACCTCTTTCTATGGGATGATGTCTGTTTGCGAGATACTAAGCCAGGAGAGGGAAAGTCACCCACATAGTCAGAATGCAATTACACACACCAAAAACTCCCTTTCCTATTCTTATACTCTGTGTTAAACCTCCAAGATGCAGATGTCATGGTTGATGTGTATACTATTTCCAGGGAAGAAGGACCAGAGAGTGTGACAGTAAGAGACGAAGAAGGTGTGGTTGTGGAAAAGGAACTGGAGTGTGGAGAGGGAGAGAGAGAGGACGCAGAGAAAATTGGGGGAGACATACCCCCGTTTGGCGACTTTGGCGGGGGTCTTGAAGATCTCGGGATGGGGGAGTCGGAAGGGTTTCATCTGTACGAGAGAGACGAGCAGGAACTGATTGAGGTGGACATGGAGGACTTGAGCAGTCCAGTTGGTTCTCTCTCTCCTTCCTGGGCTGAGCCCGGCAAAGACGCAACGGCCGTAGAGAGCGTGGGTGAACCTCTGAAAAAGAAAGAGAAGAAAGAAGACGATGAAGAGGAGGAGAAAGAGTGGAAGTTGAAAATTGACGTAGACAGCGACGGAGGAGACAGCGCAACTGTCTCCCTGACTTGTTCCGAGTCTTTTCGACCCGTGAAAGAAACACTGTCTGTGACTCCCAAAGCCAGAGACCCGAAGCTTGAAGATAGAAACACTAGCACCGCACTATTGCGTCCGTCTACACATCCGAGTGCACCCTACTGCTTCTGCCAACAGCCGGCGCTCAATTACTTCATGATTCAGTGTCACAAGTGTAGCGGATGGTTCCATGGCTCTTGCGTCGGTATCACGCGCCATCAGGCGTCCAGGGTGAAAGAGTTCTACTGCTCTCTGTGCATCGACGCTGACCCCAGTTTAGTGACCGTTTTCCACGAGAAAAACGTCGCAGTTGAGGACGAAGAAGAAGACGGATACAGAGAGAAGGAGAAACGAGGGGCCAAGAGTCGAACCAGTTACGGCGAGAGCGGGAGCAAGCGCCCGACTGCGAAGAAACACAGCCGGAGGTGCGGGGCGTGCGCTGCCTGTCTGTGCGAGGAAGACTGCAAGAAGTGTCGTTTCTGCAAGGACATGCCGAAGTACGGCGGGCTCGGCCGGATGAGACAGAAGTGCATCAAGCGGCAGTGCCACAAGCTCTCTCGCATTCTCTACGCAGAGGATCCCCTCCACAGCAAGTCGAGAAAGCTGCACGAGGATATTGCGGCCGAGCTAAAGAAAGTTGGCGGTCGCGTTGTGCTATCTTCGACGAGCGAAGGTGAGGGTACCTACAAAGATGCAGAAGAAGCATCGAAAAGCGTCCGTTTTGCTGAAGAAGATTTGGGGTCTTCGATTGCTCCAAAGACTGCTGCGAAGTCGAGGCATCGCGGGAAGAAGAAGCCGGCCAAGCGGCTCGGCGGTGGAGGTGGAGGGGGAGGGAGAAGTGGGAGGAGCGTTGCTAAAGGCAGCAGAGGAAGGGTGCGTCTGAGTGCATCAGACTTGGAAATAATCACCCAAGAGCAGGTCAGCATTGCTTTTGTTTTCATGCACCCCTAGCAGGAAACAGGGGCCTTTGATAGTTACTGTTGGACATATTATTAACCCTCTGGCAACCTACGGATGTGGTGTGTTTTTGGGGTGTACATCTAGGGGAATGTGTTTGTACGTATTAACCCCTTACCCATGCAAATAATAATCGTGCCACAAAACTACCAATAGTAGAAAAACACATACTCATAGTCTGCCCCATCAGTTAGTGGTGCGCAGTGTGCCGAGCGGTTTGCACTTTAGTACTTTTCATCGTATTGGGTGAGTTCTTTACATACAGTGAGCTTACAGAGCGAAAAACAACCATGCATACAGTTACATAGGTATTGACATATTATCATGGTAGATGTATCCTATGACTGTGTGTATGTGCAGCCGGTGCTCAGGAGAAGAGGAAGGAGAGGCGTTCTGCTACACGGCAGTTCATCTGACAGAGATTTAGCTCCTGTCCAGTGCCTCGGTCCCGGATGTGTGTATGCTGCCAGACCTCACTCCAAGTACTGCAGCGAAGAGTGTGGGATACAGCTAGCCATTCGGTAGGTTGCACAATTTCTGTAATTCCTTTTTTCTCAATTTCTCGTCTCCTTCTTATTCTCCTCCATTTAATTTACCTCCTTTTTGCCACTCTCTCTTGAAATACTACTTTCTTTTTCTCTTTTCTATTCCTTTTCCTCACCTCACTTCCTTCTTTCTTCTTTTGTGCACTCTCCTAAATCTTTCTTCTCTTATTCCTTCTCTTTTTCTCTCTCTCTTTGTGTCCTATCTCTCTCTTCTTATTCTATGCAGACGTATCAAAGCTCTTCTACCAGAGAGCCAGAAGTGGTGGGAAGATGAAGATGGTGGCAACAAGAGGACCACCAGAGCCCTGAGCCAGTTCAAGTTGCAGGAACTTGAGAAAGAGCAAAAGGTTTGCCTCGAAATTTTACACCTAACAACATCCATGACCCGCAGAGTGTAAATGTTTTCCTCTAATACGGTCTGGTTCATGAACGAGACATAAGGAAAGGTCTGTTCAGAGTGGACCTCCACCAGAGACCAGAGGAGACTCGTAGTTTAGGACTCTTATGACAATTGAACTCGTTGGTTTGCATTCCTGCTGAAACTTTTGCTACTGTGTTTCAGTAAAACTCAACTGACTGAAAGAGTGATCCATAGACAAAGAATGATCCGTAATGTATGTTATTCTGTTGTCTCAGGATCTGAAAGCTCAACTGGAGGAGTTGGACGTTCAGACACAGTCCATAGACAGCCATGTCAGCTCACTAGCCAGTGCCACTCCCTCAGGAGAAGACGAGGTACATATGTATGTATGTATGTATGTATGTATGTACAAATGTGGTATAGCAGGAGACTTTTGTAGGAGAAAACTTGCGGATTTGGAAGGCAAATGAAGCTTGTATGTGTACAGAACATAATTTCGTTGGTAGGCTTTACTCAACGATAAAGAAATGAGTACTCAGATGTACATGCATAACTGAAAATGAGTGGCCTAAACTTCTCGTACTTTTAGCAATGAAGTGGCGGGAAGGAAGGGCAGACCAATCATCTCAAACACATTGAATATAGCTGGAGTGTGCAGTATTTACGTAATGAATCTGATCTTCATTCTGTAATTACCCCATAATCATGATCACATACTCCCGTACTCCATTCCGTCTTTTCAGTCATTACCTCATACTGCATTTCCCATACTCATTCCATCATAATCCCATACTCCCATACTCCATTCCACCCAGGGTTTGGAAGGAGACGATGACCTCACCATATTCTGTGCCACATGTGGTCGGCCTACTGGGATCAAGAAAGCCGTCCATCACATGGAGAGATGTTTCTCAAAGGTGACAACAATTGCCTCTCGGTGCACTTCACTGCTAAGAACATGGGGGCTTTTTAAGAATACTTATGTTATTTTGGACCCATCATTAAATTTTCTTTATAATATGTAGGTTTTCTTTGGTAGTTAATATGTTGGCTAATGTGCATGTTTACAGACTTTGTTTACTTCGACCAATTTTTCATTACAATTTTTCATTAGCACCTTTTTTCTTAAATTAGCAAAATGTTTCTCCCTCGGAGGTTTCCTGCTGTACTCAGGTATGTTTGTCATTGTAGATGGAGGGTGTGGTGTCATTTGGATCCCTCGTGAAGAGTGAAGGGTATGTTTTGATGTTGAGACAGTTCATGCAACTCTAGCATTATCAATTGTTACTGCTACTTGACTGCGCATCTATGGAACTTTGAAGGGCCCTGCAACCTGTTGTTGTTGTACATTGCCAAAACTCCATGAAGAACACTTACTTACAGCATCATATAGACAAATTTGAGACGATTCTAGCATAAAGCCCTGACTGTTGTTGTTGTCATTGCCAAAACTCCATTGAAGGAACACCTTACTTGACTAGGACATCATATAGACAAATTTGAGACTGTATTCTAAGCATAAAATGGCCCTGAAACCTGTTGTTGTTGTTGTACATTGCCAAAACTCCATTGAAGGAACACCTTACTTGACTAGGACATCATATAGACAAATTTGAGACTGTATTATAAGCATAAAATGGCCCTGAAACCTGTTGTTGTTGTTGTACATTGCCAAAACTCCATTGAAGGAACACCTTACTTGACTAGGACATCATATAAACAAATTTGAGACTGTATTCTAAGCATAAAATGGCCCTGAAACCTGTTGTTGTTGTTGTGCATTTCCACTGAAGAGGAGTCTTGTATTGAGCAGTCGAAACGTCTATTTTAGACTACAATGGGTATTGAAAAGCTGTACATATTATATAGCTGTTTATCTTGCACTGCAGAACAAACATATTCTGTGACAAATTCGACCCGGCCCAACAAACATACTGCAAGCGACTGAGAGTCCTTTGCCCGGAACACACAAAAGAACCAAAGGTGTATATTACCGATTCATAAACATGACAAAACACTGCCGTATTCAATTTTGTGTCCCGCCTGTTTTGAGGGCTATTGTCACAAATAGAGCTAACCTTTCATTGATGCCAGTGTTTTTCATTTCCTAACCTAATCCAGGGTGTGCCCACTCATTAGTGTCAGATACGTAGATATTAGAACTCCATGTGATACGCAACTCATGAGGATTGCTTCACCGGCCATTATCTATTTAGCAGCCACTGTTTTTTGTGTGTGAGATTTCCTTTACGAACACTATACTACAATGTTCTTCACAATCTGTATAATATTATGCTTCCTAAGCTGGAGATCTTGTGTATCTGCCATTAAATGCAGGTTGGACCTAAGGACGTATGTGGCTGTCCATTAGATCCTCTCTTTCCCTCCAAACATCGGACTAGTCCAAAGTTCTGCAGACTCCCAAAGAGAACTTGCACGAGCCATTTTTCTTGGGAGAAAGTGCGGAGAGCTGAGATTGACCAAGAAAAACTGAACCTGGTACAGTATATTGTACATGTAATGATAGTATAATGACTATATCTGGTTTAGTGTAACTGAGTTAAACACTGCATGACATATATACATAGTATAGCCCATGATGATGTCGATGGTGTCCTTTTGACTGACACGTGTGTGTGACTATGCACACGACGGTAGAAGTGTGAACACAATCAACCCCACAAAATGTGCAAAATCATGATTCTGATGCGTTGAAGTTTAACAGGTATGATTGTAAGCATGTTTTGTTTTCTATTAGGGGCGGGTGTATAAGTAGAAACTGCTACTAAAAATGCAAGATTAATTTCATTCTTGCACTGGGATCCTATTGTTCAGTTTAGAGTCTTTATGTACTCACACGTTCCCTTTAATTCCCAGTTTCTGAAGTTGGAAGATGTGGGAGATCAGATTCGAATGGAAGAGTGGCACATCCAGCGCAGAGGGTCTCTGGCGGCAAGACTCCTGCACTACACCATCGACCACTCGCGAGAAACTGGCAGAGACAGAAGAAGGCTCCGCGGATTACAAGATTCAGGACAGGACAATAGCAGAGACTGACAGTGTCTCGCAGAATGCAGGCCCATGAAATATATCATCTATCATCAAAGTTAATCCAAAACACATTATACCGTTTGGCAAAGATAGCGGCGGATATTTCCCAAGATCATGCATCCAAAACTTGACCTATCACAAAACTGAGATTGAGAATGCGAAAAACTGAAGCATTCACATCATGCTCATGGAAAGCTGAAATGGGTAGCTGCTTCATGCTTTTGTGCTTAGGCTCGGAGCAGTCTAACTGCTGTTGAGCTCAAGGGTGTAGCTGGCTCAGAAAATCTCGATTCAGTGGAACATAAAACTGAATACTCTGGAACTAAAATAATCTGAAACTTTCACAGCCCTGACAACATTGGAATGTAGTTGATGTGCAATCGATCGTGTCTGGAGTATTGTCTCTTCATTGTGCCGCCCGAGATATTGAAGTATAGATCATACAAGGGACGTTATGTTATCACAATGGAGGATGATGACAGGGCATTGTTTGCAAATTATAATTATTACATAGCACCCAAGAAGTCACCGAAGCATAATCGTTGTGGCTCATGCATGCACTAGGTAGAGAAGGGGTTATAATTGCCATTGTCATTCACAAGACAGTTGGTGAACTGTTGACAGTTTGGGGGAGACAGTGTACTGGGGTGCTAGTGGCTCCCTCTATATAGATGAATCTGGATTTACGCTATGTTTGGGGAGTGTTTATAAATGAGGGAACAGGAGTTTAAAATCTTGCAGCTTGTGCCCAACACAGCAGCGTGCTGCAATTTCGCGCAACTGCGTGCACCATGGAGATTTATGTTCTGATTTTCAACATATCGTGTGATATAGACGCAAATTGCATTGTAGTTACGATCCATATCAAGTGCCTAGGTCTCTAGTGTGTAGCTACATATATGCTCACTGCACACAATTAATTCAACAGGGCCATTCACGTCAATCAAAAGACAGTGTACATTACGATTCTACCCTAAAAGTGACAGTGTAGAAGTGTGTTCCTGAACGGCACTGTGAGGGCTATTGAACCTTTTTCCATAAGCCTCCCAGCAAGTGTTTCCCATTCATCAGCTAGCAGTGAACACGACAGCCCGTGAAAGCGTATTCGGTACTGAGCTCGTAGCTTTCATAGCCCGCCTTGTAACCGAGCATGGAATTGTACAGCGTTGTACTCTGACAGGACAGCTCCTCTATATAGAGTGACGGTTGACGGAGAATGAGTCACTTTCCTCTCGAGTTTCGCCCTGCAAGAAGTCAAGAGAGGGGGAGAGAGAATGTGGGGATTGTGGGGAATGCTGCTCGGACTGCTGGCACTGTGTGCTTGTGTTGCTTGGGCTGATGAAGAGGAGTTCAATGTGTACTCTACACTCCGAAAGTCCAACTTTTCCGTCAATCTACGTGAGTAAACAGCTGTTGAGAAGCTGTGTCGGCGTAGTTTTTATGGTCGGTATGTTAGCAAGGAAGTGGCATCTGAAGCGTACAGCAGTGACACTTTGTTCTACACCAGAACATGTGTCGGGAAAGCCAATTCCAGTACTGTTGTTTTTGGTTTGTAGTTGAAGGAATAGTTATTGGTCCGAATCATTGACTTCAACACAAATTTAGAGCTTTTTGCTTAATTCATTTGAACCCTGCCTGCTGTACTGCCCTAGTAGCTCAGTGAGAGTAAAGCACTCTGCCAGACAGCAGTGTCGTGGATCCGAGGGCTGCTCTTTTTGAAAAACAGTTCTCCTGGGTGTAGTTACTTTGGCTTAGCCCTGCAAACTCATTGTTATTGACATGGTATAGGAAGCAGTATCTCATTCGCCGCTCGTCCTCGCTACCTCTCGACTTCCGGAGAATGGGTGACAGTGAGGTGGATGTACATCGATGAACCGTCAGAGAACGACTGGATCGGAGTCTTCACGCCACCCATTGATGATGTCTACCCCGTCAACCCTTCCGAACATGCACCCATCAAGTGGAAGGTAACAAACAATCTCATGTGTGCTATAGGATACTCTAATAAGAAGACACACTTTTCTGAATGATGTGGTGGTATCTTTAACGTTTTTCTCTATTTCTTTTTAGTATGCCTACTTTTCTGACACTCATATGACATACGGCTATGGAAAAGTAAAGTTCAGACTTGTCAACATGAGATATCCCGTCATCTTTGGTTTCTTCAGTGGAGGTATGTAGGAATGTCAGTTGTGGTGCAACTGTTCACCGCGCGCACCACCGCGCATGCGCATACAGACAACCTCCCCCCACCGATGAGCAATGTCCTTTTTAGGCTCCAAATACATCAGAGTCAGTTCAATATTCACCCTCAGTACACTCAGGATTGCTAACATTTTGAGGAATATCAAAAGCACGATGTCATGATGTGACTTGAGTGATTTCAGTTGTTAGACATCCACTTTCCATTAGGACACTGAATATTATTCCCGTGAGGTAATAAGCAGAGTGCGACCCGTGCAATCATGCAATAACAAAGTAACAGGGTGATCTCTGTGTGCGTTTGCACAACATTCTGTGATAAAAATGAATGGGACAATGAATTGGAGAGGTGTGCGAAAGCTCTATGGTGAATGGGCTGTTCTTGTGCACCCCCATCTTGTGATATTTGTACTCCATCAAACTCTCCTTTATTCAGCTACATGAGGGTTCTGTAACTGCCATGTATCTCAGGTTGCTTTCCCTGTATCCACACTACTTTCTGCTTTCAATGGCTCAACACTTCTACCAGCTGCTACAAGAGCTCCAACATTCTTGTAGGGCCAGTTTCTTTTGACCATTTCATTTGTCCACGTTGACTAACGAAATGTAGTGGCTACATTTCTCCAACTATTGCTGTTAGCGTATTGAGTTTCTCTAGCTATTAGTAACCACTGAAAGTCACCTCTTTTTCTCTGTACAGGACTGAACGACCCTACACTTGTGGCCTACACCAACAAAGTTCGCTTTAACAATTACTATGAGCCACTCCACCCGCACATTTCTCTCACAGGAGACCCTACTGAAATGAGGTTAACTTCTAGTTGGCTGGCCAATAGCGGCAGAGCTTCAATACTGTGTCCTTGCTATGCAGGCTTCAGTGGAACAGTAAGTCAGCCAATATGCCAGTGGTATACTACGGACAGCAGAGTGGGTACTACGATCATGTCAGAATTGTAAGCCGTCCACAAAGCAATAGTCCTTGACTCCATCAAAAAACCTCGTCATATTATAGGCTACAACCAGCACATACACTGCAGATGACATGTGCGAAAGTCCTGCCATTGATTACGGCTTTCTGGACCCAGGAGCACTCAACACAGTAGACATGGCAAAGTATGCGGTATCAACTTACCTATCTGGATGCACGTATAATGTTTGTCTATAGCCTGGAGCCTGGTCAGATGTATTACTACATGTTTGGAGACACGTATGGCTGGAGCAGAGAGTACAACTTTACTTCTGCACCTTACCATGGAGCAAACACCACCATCAGAGTCATTGCCTTTGGAGGTCCATTTCCCCGTTCTCCCTCTCTTTCCTCATCCCTCGACTGTGTGATTCTATTGCAGATATGGGCTGCGGGGAAATTGATGGTAGCTACAGAGAACAGCTCTATAACCCGTCCATAAACACCACCGACCGATTGCTGGAAGAGCTGTACAGGACTGACTTTTTGATGCACATTGGAGACATGAGCTATGCACAGGGCTATGCTGCCATTGTGAGCGACATCTTTCATCGTATCTTTGCACTGGCTTGCACTGGTTCCTTTTCAAGGCTGTGCAGTGGCATGCCCTCCTTACCTCTTACCACCCCTCCTTTCATTGCTCTGTAGTGGGACGCGTTTTTCGACCAGTTGGGGGACATTGCTGCTACAAAACCCTACATGGTGTGCACTGGAAACCACGAGAGAAATACACCAGACACAATGTAAGGCCTACCACATTCTACTTTTTCTGAACTCACCCAGCCTATTCTGCGCTGTATATACTTTGTGACTCCTTCTCTGTGCTATGCAGGCCAGGACTGTTCAACAACAGCGAGGCTGGAGGAGAATGCGGTGTGCCACACAATATGAGGTTCCCTATGCCCGTCCCAGATCTGGACGAGAGATGGTGCATTAAAAACACATACATCTGACTCCATAATAAGCTACAATAATCCATACATCGACTATATACATACAGCTATAATCTCTGACTTCATATTATAGGTATGGAGCTGCCTATGGACCGGTTCACTTTGTGTTTATGAGCACCGAACACGTGTTCTGGAAAGGATCAAAGCAGTACAGGTGGTTGAAGAACTACATGGAGACAGAAGTGGACCGCTCAGTCACTCCATGGCTGGTTTTCATTGGACACAGGTGAGGAACATTGAGCAGCTTTTAAGCTTCAATAATTCTTCACCCACCATACCTACAGACCCATGTACATTGCTACTACCAACTACAATGAACCTGACGGACACATGCCAGTTGCTCTTGAGCTGCAAGAACACATTGAACCCCTTCTACTGGTATAGTCACTCCAGTATATGCAGCTAGCCCGGTCTACGCAGCCACGTCAGATACGAACCTCCTTTTTTCTTGCTCTCCCTGTAACTTGTTCTCCTCGTGAGAATGTGTTGGTAGTTAGTCTAGAACAGCTGGTCAAACTGATGTTGTGCTACCTGAATATACTTAATTTTCTAGTTACACACTTTCCAGTGTGTTACATAGCAATACTGCTAAGTACTCCGGAAAAGCATAGACTGACACTAATTGTTGTCTGTGCAGGAACACAAGGTGGATCTTGCACTGTGGGCACATCACCACTCCTGGCAGAGGTTCTGCAAGATCAACCAGGACCAGTGCGACGATGAAGACGGAATATACCACGTCGTGATTGGAATGGGTGGCAAAGAACTGTGCAATGAAATCCCGTAAGCTTGAAAACTGTCCCAACAAAACCAGGATATCTCATAGCAAACGTTCTCTCTTTTAGTGACGATGATAATATGCCTGAGTGGGTCGACTATTTGGACTATACTGTGAGCTTTTTTGAGTATGATGTGACTATAATGCAATCTTTATCTCCACACAGCACTATGGCTACACTTGGCTGATTGCAAACCATACCCACCTGTCCTTAGAGCTGGTGCTTAACGAGGACAACCAAGTTCATGATGGGCTCTATATTGAGAAATACGACTCTTGAAGGAACAATTATATAGGAAAATTCTGTGTATATTTATAGCTGTCTGTCAGTCTATCTGTTTTGTATTGTAGTCAAATTTTTGTGCATGAAAAATTGTCAGTTTATTCACTGTTGTCTACTGCGGAAAAAACATTCAAACGTAAAAAAACAAGTGAAGATATATAGAATGCAAAGGGGAACTAGTGTGACTTACCAGATCCTCACTCAACTCAGTTCAACAATCAGTTAATAGTGGGGGTAAGGGGAGGGATCATAATGAGTATCTTACCCTAGTGATTATTATTATTATTGTTTGTCCCCTCTCTCCTTGCAATACTCATATTATATCATAGCCCCATAATCTATGATGCTAGGTACCATGCCCATCCCTACTACCGTACTTAGTGATAATACTATAGTGAACATAACCACTCCTGCAGAGTGTCTAATGCACGAAGCATGTGCAACTTAAGGCATCTCACAAAGTGTGCAAAGTGCTGGGAACTCAGCAGGTCCCATCCATGCCCAACTAGGTGTACTCAAGTTTGTAATAAACATTGAAGCCGTCTGATGGTCCAGAATTATTGCCTAATCATCACTACTGCTTGCAGAATTGCCTAACCATCACTACTGCTTGCAGAGTCTGGTCGTCCTAGTCGAGTACAGCAGGTAATTCACAGTCTTATAGTGAGGTAGCTATCTGGAGTTCCTGTTAGCAACTGGTCACGGCGAAGGATGTGAATGGGAGGATGGTAGCATCTATTATCCCTTGGTCAGAACCTGCCAGATGAGTTTGAGAGTAGCCTACCCTAGAAATAATAATGCTTGTTTGTGTCTGAACTGCCGTACAAAGTGTCAGAATCACAGAAGTCAAGCGGCTATGGAAGGTATCACTACTTGCATCTTTTCTGCTCAGCTGGAATTATAACACTGCACTCGACACTAGCAGATCTGTAGCTTTGACGCAACAATTTGCTGAAGGGGAAAAGTTGTTAGGATTGCTACTAACTAGCACAGGTGCCCCAATCAAAGGACATGCTTTATGGGGCTATTTTGTTGATCCCTTGAATAATAAGCAATGTCAACAATACAAATTTTCTGCCTAACCTATACAATGACACAATGCTGTTAAGGGTTGGTCTGAACTTTCTCATGTGAGACGTATATAAGGCTCAATGGGACGTCTATAGCCGCAGTGTTTATCCTGCATAGGTCCTGCTTAGATCCTGCATAGCTCTCAGGTATGCATTGTTGCAATAGGGGGGCTTGGGTTACTTAAGTCTCTTTTGCCCAAGAGGACACCAGTGGAGTGTGCAGAGATGAATCACGCACATGTGCTAGCAGTCGCGTTTCTGCTGTGGTGCTGCGAAAGTGTGAAGGGAATCAACGATAATATCTTCAGTTGTGAGATTTTTCGACCAGCAAACTTTAACATCAGCATCGGTAAGATAAACTCATCTATATACCTATTTCTTTTTTTGGCAGAATAAGCTATAGAACTTAGTACAACACTTACCTCAGGTTGGCTAGCTATTTTATTCTCCAGACACAAATATCAAATTTCAAGTGAAGCCGCAGTACATAGGGAGTTCAGGTAAATGGGTGAAACTGAAGTGGTACAATGTCAACAATCCCAGCGATGGCGATTGGATCGGTGTTTATCCGTTAGCTGTCTACAATACATATCCTATTGATCCAGCCAACTACTCTCCCATCAAATATCAGGTAGCTAAGCAGTTTCATGTACATTACATATCTTTCTTGTCATTCTCTGCTATGACTTTGGTTTCTTAGTTTGCCAACGTGTCCAGTAGTCACACAACGTATGGGAGAGGCTATACGGCAATGAGACTGCTGAATATACGATCTCCGCTGGTGATGGGATTTTTCGGAGGAGGTATAATCCTGACTGCATGGTGTAAATTCACTATAATAAGCTTCGTTTCTCTTTGCTGTAAGCGGCTTGTGTGTTTACAATTTGTTCTGGTGCTGCATATATGCAATGCACCTTGTGTACAAACACTACATCCATTGCTACTTTGACAGCGTGTGCTGTTGGAAGGGGCAGTTGAGCAGTATGTTGTGTCTACAGTAACCCTCTTCAAAATAGTACCCATTATAAAAATGCACGTTATTCCATTATATAAGGTTTGACAACACCCACACTGATAGCCTACAGCAACACGGTGTACTTTACAATCTCCAATGAGCCAACACAGGTTCATCTATCGGTTGGTGGAGGGAAAAACGAATTGATGTAAGTTAGGGAAAAACTCCTTTTGCTGTTTCATACTACACTTGAACAGGGTAACATGGGTGTCCAGCCAGTTCTTTAGACCTGTCATCTACTGGGGCACTGAGAGTGGTTACTACACACAAGTTAATGCTGTGAGTCACTACACAGCGGCTGAATGGTGAAAGTACTATTGAGGCCCATACAACAAGCCGGCCCTGTCGTATTTTTCTAAATGACATCACACAAATTGGTCTTCAGTATTATATACAATGACTGAAGTGGTGTAACTGCTTTAAATGAGTGTGAATATCATGTTGGGAATATTTATGTGCACAGTCGGTGAGCCACAGCTACAATGCCAGTGACATGTGCAGCTCCCCGGCCACAGATTTGGGCTATACTTCCCCCGGAACAATACATAGAGCCACAGTGTCGAGGTAATATTATATCCAACTAATAGATGTGTGGAGAAACTCTTCAAATGATTTAGTAGCTCACACTACAAAGAATTGACCACGTAGATATCAATGTGAGATTCAGTCGCGGTGTGTTTGTCTAAAAGTTCAATGTGAGGTAATTAGTTGGTGTGTTTGTCTAAAAGTTTGCTGCCAGGTCAAAAGTACTACTACGTAGTAGGAGACAACTGTACTTGGAGTGAGGAATACATCTTTACTGCTCCACCATCTACCAACCAGACATTTGTCTTGGTTGCCTATGGAGGTAAGACAAAGAGTTTGGAAGCTGAGAGATTCAGTTGTGGACATGTGTGTCAAATAGAGTCTGGCTGTGCTCAAGTGGATGGTTCACACCATATAAATGAGCACAGGTCCTCTCTCAATGTAACCACGAGTGTCTACGACCAGCTAGAAAATATAGACCTCTTACTTCATCTGGGAGGACTCAGTTTTGCCAAAGGATACAGCAGTGTGGTTAGTGGGAACGACTACCAAAACCCAGCACTTCTGTGTTTTAAACTATCTCTTGCAGTGGGACAGTTTCTTTGATGTCATAGAGCCCGTAGCCTCTAATATCCCCTACATGGTTGCAGCTGGAGTCTCTGAAACTGGCCGAAATATCACCAAGTAGGTCCCAAACTCTCTAAACATTAACCCTCGGCGCGCATGCGCAGCGAGGGTTACCGTAGTCTGTGTGTGTCTGTACTGTCTGTGTGTCTACCACTATTCTCGCACTACAGGCTACGAGGCGGCTTATGAGCGATATTAACAGCTTTAGCTGTACATGGGATAGAATCTAAAATTGCGATTTTGCTGAAACGACTGCGTTCGAGAGCGCAAACTGACACGGTTGCGGACAGCGTTGTGTGCCCACCCATAAATAAGTGGGTGCGCATGCGTGTATTAGACGCAGTATGCTGCTGGCTCACCTCGCCCGATCCGCTGTGTACCTTTGGCCACAAGAAGCCACAGCGAAGGGTGTGTATCGACTCCCGCATGCTATCTACTACTGTAGCTAGCCAGTGTCAGACTCTCCGCAGCTACTAGCGGGAGACCGCGAGTGAACGCCATAGCCCAGCCCTCCATTAGCGTATATCGCCGCGGGTTTGCACTTTAGTGCTTTTCATTTCCACTGTTTCCATCTCAAGTAATGGTGTCTGATGGAGAAGCACCCCCTCTCTTTGATCGTGAGGTCTGTTCGATCCCGCGGGTGTGCGCCTTTTTTACAATGATGTAAGTGGAATAGGAGTGTTGCTGGTGTGTGTAACTGGAACGTGTTTTACATCACTTCTCAAGGCCAGCCCGAGTGGCTAGGTGGTTCGAGTCGTGGGAGGACTGACACCATAGCCGTGCCGGTTCGAATCCTCGATCCAGCACTAAAATGTCAGGTGGTCCAGAGCATTGGCTGGGAACAGCTCTGGTTCCTCCCTTACCCACAAAATCTACCACGGACCCACGGTTTCTCAAAGGGCGCGTATAGTTCGGCATTGCACTACGTCCGTAGACGTCTGTCTGGAGAGATGAAGGGCTGGCCGTTTTTTTTTTAACCTTAGGTTTTTTTTCACTAAACAATCCTTGGGCAATACGAAAATTAATAGAGAGATGAAAGGTTGGCAATCTTTCAACCTTATATATATTTTTTGGGCCTCAAACAGAAATGGGGCTGGCCATTTTTTCAACCTATCGAAAATAATCCATGGAAATAGTGCATAACATGACCATCAATTGTGGTGGTGCCACACTTGTGTATGAGTTCCACATTTCTATATAGTGTGCCGAGGGTTTGCACTTTAGTGCTTTTCATTTTTCATGGTACTCAGCTCTACCTGCAGCAATAGCACAGAGTGTGGCGGTGAGTGTGGAGTCCCGTTCATGAACAGATTCAACATGCCCTGGGCCAGCGAAGGCAGTCCCTGGTGAGCAGTTTCTTTTGCCTAAGTCTGATATAATAGCAATATAATATTACTCTGTGCCGTAAAGGTACGACTTTGATTTCGGTGGAGCTCACTTTGTGGTTATAAGCACTGAGCACGATCTAACGACAGGGTCGACCCAATACGAGTTCATCATTAACTCTCTTCAGAATGTTGACCACGACCAGACTCCGTGGATTATTATGGCTGGACATAGGTACAAAGTGGAATCAATTCAATAAGTGATATTGTCTCATTCTTGTCTATTGTAGACCGATGTACACGGTGAGTAGTCAGGACTTGAAGGAGCAGAATATAACAGATACGCTGCAAGCATACCTGGAACCACTCTTCAGGGTATAAATATTCATCATCGCTTAAAAAGTCAATGTGAGCCTCAAGCTTTGCCAACTGTCGCAGTAGCCTGTGTGCTTTTGGACCTTGTACATGCTGAATACAGTTTAGTCAGCTTTAAGAGTCAGACTATGTCAGTGATGAAATTACTTTATGATTTCCACTTTTGTATATAGTAACTTATTAACAGTAACTGCCTATGCATTTTCAAAGTCATGTCATGGTTGAAAACATGGTCCTCATTTCGTTCCAGATATACCAGGTGGACCTAGCCCTGTGGTCTTACCACCACTCTTACCAGAGGACATGCCCAGTGTACAGGGGCAACTGTGTCGATGGAGGCACCGTTCACCTTGTGGTTGGCACTGGAGGTGCACAGTTGGAGCAAAACAGGTAAGCATCAACCTTTGCTCCCTCAATGCTACAATCAAAGATTTTCGCCCCTATTCTAGCACTGAGACTCCAAACTGGATAGAGTTCATGAACAACAAAGTAAGAAAGTGGTTTAGGTCAAGTGTTTTATGCTTGTTTGTTTTTCATTAGAACCATGGCTACGTGAGGTTGAGCATTTCGCCTGACACACTCGCAATTGCATTTGTGTCCAGCGAAAGAAATGCAACTCTTGATAGTACAGAGTTGCTGAAATCAGACTACAGTAGTGACTTCTACGAGAACCTCTTCACACAGCCGGACGACGACGATGCTATTGACTCTGTGTACCATGACATCATTTAGTTGAAGTCAAGCACTGTTTAGCAATCTTGAATTTTGCGCATGCACGCTAATCCTGCAGTTTGCGCATGCGTGCCTCACCCTAGCTAGCTAGATTTCGCGGCGACGCGCAGCGCACGTGCGAAGTGCACGGAGTACCGAGGGCTAGCTAGGGAAGGAGACCGGAGATGCTTCGCCTGTGTGTTTGCGCGCTGCTGGTGGGGTTGGCGGTAGGTAATGCAGAAATACACCCCCTGAATCTCATCAGACGCGACAGGGCCAGCATCATGTTGGGTGAGTCGTTCACAGCCGACCATAGCTAGCTAGCTAGCTAACATCAAGCACACGGATTATACATAGCAATGCACACAGAATTCTATTCCACGTGTCGAGTGTATAAGTAGACCTGGTCTAAGTGGAAGATGTAATCAAGAAGCCGTATTGCAAGCACATAAAGTAACATTGCGTCCTGAGCCTGGTGTGTGTAATTATAAACTCCTCAAATAAGCATCTTTTTTGCTGCCAGAAAAATAGACAACAAGCCACAGCAAGCACACTACTTTATACATATGGTAGCATGCCATACTTTTCAAGCCCCAAGTTGTATATACATTATAATTGCGTACAAAACTCCACACCTAAATGCATCTCTCTGCCCTCAGAAAAAGAGATCGTGATACAGGTGAACACGTCTGTGTTGGAGTCGTCTGGATCGTGGGTCAACGTGTCGTGGAGTGGGGTGCCTTCTCCGGGGTCCGAAGACTGGATTGGAGTATACTCCCCTCCAGTCAACAACTCCCTTGATCCTGCCAAACATGCACCCGTGAAATATCAGGTGACATGAACTTGGGGTGATTTATCGCAAAGTTTTTTTTGCTAACACTCGGCATTTTCTGTCAACTGTATATATACAATCGACAGAACGGCGACGAGGGCAGCTCTTCTTTTTTTTCCTTGGAAGAGTTGTCCTGGGTGTAGTTGACTTGTTTGCCTTTGCCTTTCTACCTGACACATGGACTATTTACTGCCACGCACTCTGTTGGTTGCAGTATGCTAACAGAAGTCCCACCCACCTGAAAGAGGGGACGTGGCTACCTTCTCTTTCGCCTTGTCAACATGAGAGCTCCAATCATAATGGCCTTCCTAAGGGGCGGTAAATTTTTTAGAGAAGCAAAGCAAAAATATTCGGTCTTGTGCTGATTTTTGCAGGTTTTAAAACTCCAACTCTTGCATCAGTTAGTGGATTGGTCACATTCCAGAACTGGAATGAGCCACTTCAGACACACTTGGCGCTTACTGACGACCCCACCGAGATGATGTAATTTTTATTTGCAATGATGTAATGGGAATTGTCTCGCTTTTATTCTTCAGAGTGGTGTGGGTTACAAAGAATTCCAGCAATCCACAGGTCAAATGGGGCACAGCCAGTGGGGACTACACTCACATACTTGATGTAGGTCAATTTTTGCAGGTTGTAAAGTTTCTAAATGTGAAAATTCCCGTAATTCGCTAAGATTTTGTGCCTTACAGTGTTCGAAGGGTTTATTGCAAGTTTGCGAATTTTCCGTGCAGGCGGATTCCTCCAGCTACAGTGCCAGTGACATGTGTGGCTCTCCAGCCATTGACTTTGGCTACAGAGACCCAGGTCTCCTGCACAAGGCCAAGCTGAGCGGCCTCCAGCCTGGCCTCACCTACTACTACACCTGTGGAGACCAGCAGTTTGGCTGGAGCCAAGAGTTCAGCTTCAGAGCTGCCATGCCCGCCTTCTTCGAAACAACAACTAGAGTCTCTGCTTTTGGAGGTTGGCGCTTAGTAACCATAAAATCAACAGGCATATTAATTTTGGTAGATTAACCCTTAGTCTCAAAAGTATGATCACCAAAGACCAATTTCCCACAGTTGTATAATGTAAAATCCTGCTGCGGTTTCCCTTGGTCGTAGATATGGGAGTTGCGGAATTGGACGACAGCCGACAGATTGTCAGTCCCGAACAGCCGGCCATTAACACGACGAGACTCCTCAATTACTATAGAGACGAGACGGACGTGGTGCTGCACATTGGCGACATCGCCTACGCTGTGGGATACGCTGCAACCGTGAGTTCACCGGAAATACAAACACTGTTTTAATAGTAACCTCAGTCTCTGCATTAATCAAACAACCACGACAGCCTTATGGCATATGACATACATAAACGTATGGGAACATGGGCAGCTTATAGCTCTATGAAACTAAGATGACACTCACTATATACACACAATGCCCAGCCAACGTGAAGTTATACATTTTAGAAGTGCTGTTGCAAGAAAGAAAGAAAGAAGCCAAGGGTTAAGGCTTTGTCGTACTGATTGGAGAAGACCTGCTTTTTGAGAGTTGAGGCTTCGTGTCCAGTGCACTGACTACCAGGGCTGAGTTTATTTCCTTTTCATCCTGTGTTCAAAAGCTGCTCCGTTTATTTCCTTCTCTCTCCATAGTTTTGCAACTCCCATTATTTCATTACTAATTTGAGTGTTCACTTTAACTCTCATTACAGTGGGAGGAGTTTTTTGACCAGGTCCAGTCAGTTGCAGCCAATGTCCCATACATGGTCTGCATTGGAAACCACGAGCGAGATTTCCCAGGCTCAAAGTAGGCCGTATACCTTACCAGCTTCTAATCTGCCTTATTTCTGTGGTCAAAAGCCATAAGGTTACTGGTCCAAATGGTCTCAAGCTTTTTAAAAATTCTGGTGGTGTTTTGTTCAAATGGCCTTAGTCCTACGAGAAAATTTTTAAACTCGCAACAGTTAAAAAATAAGACTCTTGCATCAGTGCCCGACTGCTGTGTATTATTGACAATTTGTGATCCTAAGATTTTTTAATAGTCTTGAGTTTTGTTTCAAATCTGTTTCTCTGTGGGCTCAGGATTCATAACATTTTGTTCAAACGTTTTACTATCCCTCCCTTCATGTTCTCAGTGGGTTGTTTAATGGGACTGATTCTGGTGGCGAGTGTGGTGTGCCTCATGAGAGGAGGTTCCCTATGCCTAGACCTGCACTGGATCAGGCCTGGTGGGTACTATTGTCTTGTGTGCAATGATGTGTTGATTCACATTACTATGGGATATCGGCAATCGAATGTACTATATAAGCTTACCTTGTGTGTATATAACAATGGGTGTTCTTCAGGTATGGGTTCGACTATGGAAGTGCCCATTTCGTTCTGATGAGTACTGAGCATTTCTTTTACCCCGGATCGCCCCAATACCAGTTTCTTGAAACACACCTCAAGGCAGTGGACAGAACAAGAACTCCATGGCTGATTTTTGCTGGACACAGGTATAAGCTTATTCATAGAAGGTGAAGCACTACTACAAACATTAAGAGTCGTGTTTTTCATTGGATGTTCCCAGAATAGTTTTGATCCTATGGTATGAAATGTTTTTTTTTGCCCCACAGACCAATGTATATTGACAGCACCAACTACGATATACCAGCTGGAGATCAGACCGTCGCCAGGGAACTCAGGAAATATGTGGAACCACTCCTTAATGTAATTTTCTTACCTACATACTGCATAACGGAGACCGTGATTGCAATGCTGCAACATTAGTCCAGTATATATCTCTGTAGTAAATTCCTTTGTTATTTAGGTACACGGAAAAAGTCTCACGCAAGCTTAATGTATGGGTCCACTCAATAGACAGTGCTTGTGCATTTTCATGCAACTTGCCAATCACGCCCACGTATTGAAATATGTGGTATGCTCTGCTGATGAAAGAGCTTCACCTCTTTTCTCTCTTGTTTACCTAACTCTGTTTGTAGGAGTACAGAGTCGACGTGGCATTCTGGGGCCACCATCACTCGTACCAGCGGACCTGCCCTGTCTACCAGGAACACTGTACTGAGGGGGCCACCACACATATTGTCATTGGAATGGCTGGCAAAGGGCTTTCTAAAAATGTCTTGTGAGCTCCCATTACACGATGTCAAACCTCGTATAGAGGCCCCTCATACTAAAAGACACCTCTCTATGAAGGACACTTGTTTCTGATACATTTGCATTACCTCAGAATAAGGGACACCTCTGAATGCCGTGGAAGTGTCCCTTATTCAGAGGTTTCGCTAGAACTTTTCGGTGGCTTTGTGATCATTGGCAATTGGGGAGTGAGCCAACCTATAGAGTCATCACAACGTAGTGGCTTAAAGTTCGTCCCTTTTTGGTTGAATATGCATAACAAGCTAAGTTGGCTTGCTCCCGCTTGCCAATTCACCTAGTATTGCTTTAATTGAAACTTTATCGTAGACTTTGCAGCATTGTTCACTTCCATCATCAACTATATTTACCTTTAGTGCCCAACGTCCATCTTGGATAGAGTATCTGGATTATGAGGTGATTCTGGTATTATATATAATGAAAACTATTAAGGAGTTATTACTGACTGCAATTGTATAATTATATATAGCACTGGGACTGTCGAGGTTCACTACCAATGCTACTACGTTCTCCTTCGAGTATATCAGAGATGACGATGGACGGGTTCACGATACTCTGGTGCTCAGGAAATAGACGTGTTACTATATTATTATACACTCCCCCTATGATGTGACTTATCAGCTAGTGACATAAGAATTTTCATAGCCTTTGTCTACTTTTTGTGTGTCTGCAGATAGCAGCGTACTATATATTTCACATGTGCAGCAGTATAATATACACGCAATGTCCATCCTTTGGCATTTGGATGAGGATCATAACCTCGGGAAATACACTCTTTACTTCGATTATGAACTTGGAGTATAAAGCCTAGGAATTTTTCTCGTCCATCCTTTTTTGTGGACTGCAGTGTTTTTGCGTTCGCATGGGGATGCGCGTGCACAACACGTGCCGACGCGGAAGCGCACCGCAACGGCGCGGCCATCCGCTTGATTGAGAGCTGAGAGAGGCGGTTTGGATGGGACTCCAAGGAAAAGCTGAGATGCTACTCAAGCTGTGTCTCTGCACAGTCTTGCTACACTATCATGTCATGGGCGACGTAGACTTCAATCCTCTGGACTGGTCGGTACGACAAGCGACGGTGAAGACGGGTGAGTCTGCAAGCTTTTGCAGCTGTAAGAGTTGGCGGACTAGTGATCTGTGTGGCCAGAAAGCAACACGACCTTATCCGCTCCGTTATCACACTAGCTATAAAGAAGTTATATAATATCATGTAGCTACTACAAGTAATGTACCTCAGCTTATACAGGAGGACTGAAAGGCAATGCAGTAGCTACATCCATGCTAGAAATGTTGATATCCAATGTTTTTTGCTCAGACCATCACATTGTGCTGAC